AAAAAGTACTATAGATAACACAGGTCTACATTATCCCCACAACAGATGTGTTATAAACATCAGGCTCTGATTTTAAGATGACATCTCAAAGCAGTGGTTTTAACTCTACATCATTTATATCAAATCAACAAATGTTAACAATCACTAACTTTCTCTGGTCTAATTCAAGTGATACCACCCAAAAGTTTGCTGACCCTATGTCCCCTGCATCATAATAAGACAATGAATCTTTGTTAAAATGATGGGGAGATCAGGTTGAAATCTGATATCAGTCAAGTTTTTCAATTTGATTGCATCCTAACATCTGTACATATAACATACTCTCTTAAAATGTGTGTAAAATAAAAAAAGTTTGAGCCAACTATCTATGACATGGTGATAAAGTACAGCAAAGTGTATTCGTATTACTGATAATAACAGTTCCTGGTCTTATCATTCATAAGCATAAGTTTAACGGGACACACCCTCCTATGTAAACATTGACACATAATAAATTCATGATCAATAATCTGTCTAGCACATGTGACATGTCAATTTACTTAAATAGTGCAATAAATTCACATACAGAACTTTTTCTATTTTTTAAATTCAGCATTCTTTGCAATTAAATTAATAATTCTGCTTTTCAACTGATCAACTGATACCGAGAACTCTTCAGTGTCAATTTATAAAAAGTCACAAAAATCTGCTTTTTGTTTTTTAAACTAACCAAAATTTCCTTTGGCTAAAGTATGAACAGGATTGGTCAACCATATGCCCATGTACTCACTTCCTCATACCAAATGATTGACGGCTAGGTACCTTGAGCTCTACGGCAGACTGTTAATCTTAACACAACAAAATACAAGCAAAGACAAAAACACAGCATGATTGTTTTATCTTTAGTGACCAGCTGGGTAGATAGATAACAGCAGAAAACATGACATGCAGAGTAGCAACTTTAAAAGTTTTAGAAACATAGGAGAAGAGTTTTTAAGCAAGGCTGAAGCTTTTTGATATATCTAACTTATCTATGCATGGAAAACATATTTTAAAACTGACATCATCATACCTATAAGAGCTACTTATTTTGTATATACTATCTGAACTAAACTGGAATAACATTATAACAGCACAAGTTTATGTCACCAAACCTGTGATGTAGAAATTATATTTGGCTTTTTACACAACACAATTGTGTTACCTTAAAATCTGTTCTGTCACACGTAATATAAGCTTACTGGACCGTAGCTGTGCAGTTTTTTGTAAAATACCAAGTAAATTTTACTGTATATAGAGTAGTCTTAACTCTGCAATCTACAATCATTACTGAAAAAACAGGACAGTTATTGGTCATATTAATTATCAACTAAAATGTAATTGTTTCTGTTTCTGAAATTATAAACTTGTTTGACCAAAATTTCTCTCACACAGGTCTCTTTACAAACTTTAGTGTAATGATAAAAAATTGCCTGGTATGCTCACACCTGTACACATGTAGTGGATAGTAATGCCCACCTATGACAACACATAAGGGAATGCTCATTTACAAGTACACCCATGGCCCAATACAGACCAGGAAGTGCCCTTTTAGGGTGTATCATAAAACATAGAAATAGTTTCATGATGGCTTGTAGTTTTATATCTTCTAAAAATTGTAGTTCAATAAGCTCATTCATCTACATACCAAGCAAAGATGGTCCAAAAATTACACTACCATCTTTTAATGCAAATTAAGCCAATTACCCCAGAGAAAAAATATGATAAAAGCATGGAGGGAGTACACTCCCTTTGTCTGCCATCATTGATCATTATTTTTATTTTCTTCTATATACTTTACATTGACCATAGTTACTAACAAATTCGACAAGTAATAAATCACTTTGATAACTAGGGAAAAAAACAGTATGAAGGTTTATGAACCTTTAGACTGCTAACCATGGAAAACTACAACAGGATATCATTGACTCCACCAACAGTTAATAAAAACCTGCTCCTCGGCTTGTACCGATAGTTACATAATAGACAACCTATTTTCTCTTGCTTTAATCATTTGTGAAAGGCCTATAAAATGTATAGTACATGTTTATTTTCAAATCAGTACCATTACCAGTCATACACAAACTGATAAATTTATATAAAATGCCAGTATGTATCTTACAATCATTGGTATATCTTACATTGTATTGAAACTGACTGTATTTCTATTTATAAATCATTTGAAATAAATTACCCCTGTTTTGTGTATTCGCCTCATCGCAATTTATATTCTTTCTTTGGCAACCCCAAATCCTCTAGCCCATTGTGCATACATGTAAGCACATTAAACAAGCATTGAAATAGCATACAAATACTTACAGTCATTATTAATACCCTAACCTTTACTTTCAAAGTTCTGATAAATTTCTCATATATAGCTGTAATAAACAATTAAAACGTAAGGTGTAGTGAGAACTCAAGCACATCTTTAATTCTAAAAGCTGGCCATCGGTTTATGCTGACTAGACTCAAAAATGCAATTCATGTATTTTGCATTTACCAAGCAACAGTGGTGGTCATGTGATATATTTTTTTTTCTTGTAAAGAATGCAAGTGTTCCCCCAAGTCTTAAAGCAAAATATGCGTTTAGGTTTTGTTCCAGCTCAGCGGCAGTCGTCTGGCATCAGCGAGTTTAAAAGTACTCACCATATCATCAAACTTTCCGGTGAAAAAAAAATATGAAAATGATGTACATGTACAATAACTATGACAATTGCTCACATAAACTACAGCACAAGTGCTAACTATATCATGTTCTGAAGGTATATGGGAATGTATCAGCAGCGAAATTTCATACACTTAACTAACACAACAATTATTAATAAAGTTTACAATCCAAAACAAACAGTACATCTAAAATCCACAATTTATCATACTTCAAAGAAATTTACCGAGGAGACAATTTTTTCAGACAACCTCAAGCATTCTGAAAACAGCAGAGGTAACCAGAATGAATCTTACACTGGAACACTAAACACTTGTTACTGTATCAGACAAAACCTGCTTTATCACCCTTTATTGTTGACGCACGCATTTTAGCAATAAAAATTTGAAGTCAGATAACAAACAAAGTTAGTTTGTCTGTCCATATTTTGGTTTCACCAACGTATAAATGCAACCCTAGTGTCCGGATATAATATTTATGCAATTTATCATATTAGGCCTAAAATAGTCAAACAAATTTAACAAAAAGATATAGCTTACTATAGGAACTATAGGCTACAGTAGATTATACAGCGGCGTTTCTTCTTTCCAAATTTTGCTCTGAATCATGGTCAGACATGACTTATTATGATAATACTGATTGGACATAAAATCCCAAGTGATCATAATGGCGTTGAAAATAAGGACAGATAGCTTAATCTTAAAGACAACTTATTTGACCCAATAAGACAATTACCCACATGCAGCAATGTAATCGCAAAAGTCCTTGTACAGGTGGTTATATAGAAATAACAACAAGCTCACCAGAATTTAAGGCTGAATTAGTTTTTTAAGTCCATTCACTCCATTTTTCTTTATATGTACAAGGTTAAAAGGATTTTAAGTTACTTAGTGACAAAGGTACTGGTTTGATTACAATTCTTCCTCAATTTTCACCAATTTTGAACTTTTCTGTGATAATCTATCTTGAAGATCATGTTTGATTATTTTCAGCATGGCTTCATTTGGTATAAAGTAAATCAGCTGTATCAACAACAAAAATACAATCTCCTGTCAACAGAAAGTTCAGGAATTAATGGTCAGGACCTGCTACTGTATTACAGACTTAGGACATAATGAATATCTAATGAATATATGATTAAATCATACACAGTCTCATGAATGAAATTCCTTGTTTTGAAATAGAACTTAAGCTCTGACCTATCAATTGGTTATAAAAAGTATGTTAACCGACATAATATTCCTTCAAGCATTCATATGGATTTCTTTAATGGGTTTTACATCTGCTATTACGGCCTCTCGACTTTCCAGAAAAATTCTTTAGGAAGTAAAAACATACTAAAAGATTCAAGTAATTCAAACAAGTTTGCATAACATACATACTTGTACATAAAAAATTTGAAACTTGTAATGCCAACAATTTATTTGAGAGGTAGATTTTAACCAATCAGGATCAAAGCACATTATATTTCCTGTTTCTCTAATTTCCACTTTAAAACACCAAACACACAAAACCATGTCACAATACAGAACAAAAAAGCAATACTAAATTAATGTACTATTGCACTGTACTATTGTTCATGTGTAGAAGTATCAGTGCTAGCCCCTGTGAGCATTGCCTAGTATGTGTTCCATTCAATGTATCATCAAAATGAAATTGAGGTATCAATAGTTGCCCTTGGTTGGAGAAAACACAAGAATACAAGATGTGTTTTTGCATCTCTAAGTAATGAATTGGCTCTCAGGCACTGCCTGTTTTATACCAGGAGATAAATCTGATATATCAGTTTTTACTCATGTGATGTCATGCTGTTTTAGGATAATTACAAAAAACATCTTTCTTTGGACCGGATGAAAAACAGTAGGGAGTCAAAATAATCCCCATAAAAAATTTAGCAATGTGTTTCTGAAAATCGCGAGATCTCTGACCAGATGCTGTCAGAAGGCCTGTGTCAGTGACCCCTTACCCTAAACAAGTAGCTACATACAAACTGAAATATACATGTTTAACATGCCGAGACGTAATACTTGCAATTAAGAATGGCTTTAATGTGAATGTTTTTGTTATAACTAATTCAGTTTCTTAGTATTGCTTCAATCCTGTGTGTAATACACACAGACAATATCATAAACATTTAAAATCGTTTACTTCTGTCGTTCTGAAGAAGTGGAGGGGGGGGGGGGGCAAATTGTTTACAAATGTGATTGGTCAACACGTCAGCGATATAGGACATCGAATCGTGACCGATTACTTCTAACATATTTGATGACTCCAGACTAGTAGTTTGCAACTTAAGCCCACGTCAAGACATGCTTACCTGTGCCATTTTAAATTCTATATAGGTCCAAGCAAGTTTGAGAAGTGTTCCAAATCCTCTCCCTTACTTCTCTTATGACGAAGTTTGTGGATTCTTATAATATTTGCATGAGCTTCTACTCGTGCAAAATATGAGGAAATAAATCAGTTCTTTTCAAATTTATGGAAAGTCCTTGCAGCCCCGTTTATATTTCCAAACTCATTCCATTTCGCCATCGTTACTAGATTCCTGACTTGGACAGCCATAAAAATTCCGCCATCTTGTTTCAAGGGTGTGTCCTTCTTTCATATTGTGTAAATGAGCATTTAGATATAGTTCGCACATCACATTCGGCCGGTACAGAAAATGACCTAAAGGCGTTTATAATACAAGCCCTATAATGAGATAATGACATAAAACTTCTAAAATTTACCAACACTTCAATAACGATACGAAAATAAATCATGAAACTACATCCTTGCGCAAAATAGCAATGTTGACCTTTCACCCTCAGGTAAAAATCCTGTTGTAAGGGAGATAACTCGTGCGACAAGTCGTCGACACTAATAGTTGGTGAGAATGGATGAACAGCTGCTATATTAAACGGCTGAAAGATTTCCCATTTTCAAATTGTTTCATGTTAAAGGATATCTTCATATCTAAATAGACATTAAAATATTGACCAGTAGGTCTAGACCGAGAGTATCACAAATAACTTTTTTTTCGTGAAAAGGAAATATATTCAACATAAATATTACTGTAATGTTTATCTTTGAGAATTTAAAATTATTTTATGAACAACACTTAATAGAAACGTGTAAATAGAACAGAAGTCGTGATAAAGATAACAATGAAAATGGTGACGTCCTTCCTGATTCATCGCGACACAGCTCTAAATACGGGCTCCACCAAAATGAGGTCACGTGGATCGTACTATACAGGATTAAATGAATCATTGCCGTTTCTGATGACTGATTTTTTTAACTTATCTATTTTTATTTAGTTTTTCAAAGCACATGTATACACATAACATATTTCACAGCGCACCCACCTAAATAAAATCATTTTCATACAAAACATTTATGCATCTGTATAAAGACAATCATATAAAACATTTCATACATATCGTACATTCATAATTCAGGATTTCAAATACTAATGTTAATATAAAACATGTCAAACACCTCATGATCATCATAGGTTTGTAATAGAAGCATTTATAATTACAGATTTTATATAAACTATACGCCCATGTAGAAACATTACCGATATAACATTTTATACATATCAGTTCTGTTCAAAATATTCATCTCTATACACGATGAACATGTAAAGAAATTTTTATAATGTATATAAAAAGCAAATACCTTAGTATGATAGTTATTTACGAATTCAAAAGATTTCAATCGATCCAAGATGTCAGTTTAGAACATTGAACTAGAACTAGTCGTAATAGTCATGTGTTTGGTTTGTTTGTTTTTGTTTGTTTGTTTGTTTTTTTTTTTTTTTTGAAAGAATGGAAACGGAGATAGACAGGTCATTACCAAGACCAACACAGAAAGAAGACGCGTGCACAGAGCCTCGGGCAAGAAATGTCAGACGTACAGATAGACGAACACAAAGATATATAAACACAAAGACTACTGACACAGTGACAAGTGTCGACAGATTAGAGAGGAGACAGGCATTCCAAAAATAAAAAAAAGTATCAAATTAAATCGACAATTGCTTTATTGAAAACATTTGCTCTGAACCAACTGTCAGTGTTCAAAAGACCATGAACGGGTGTAGATAGACATGACAGAAATCTATTCATCTTAAGTCTGAATAAGTAACATATGACGTGTTCCAGGGGTGCATAGAGCGAAAGTGATCGTAAAAAGGTCGTAAATCCTGAAGTATCGAGGATGATGTATCATGCGAGTTTTAAATACTGTAATGTGAAAGTCTCAGATGTATATCGTGTGCGAACTATGGATGACAAAATACTTTTACTACGTAAAATGGTAAATAGTAAATGTATAAATTGGTATTATTTTCTTTGTTGCTTCACGCTGTTGTAAACTATACAGAACATTGCCGGAACGCCTACCCTTCCTGAGGTCGCTAGAGTTACAGCGTTTTTAACTAAGGAGGGATTCTATTTTCTGTGATCAATGCAAAAAATAAAATCGCTGATAGATAGTCCAATCCCTTCAGACTAACGTCCTCTCTCTCTCTCTTACATGGAAACTGTGTCGTTTTGTTGAATTATCAAAGGTTATTCAATAAGGTCGTAAATACAAAAATGTTTTTTTCAATCAGCTTGTAGACCCTCCTAGTATCTTGCAGGGAATTCACGGGGTATCCCATTTCCCAGTCCGGAGTCGTATTCTGTACACGTTCTGAAGTAGAAGTTCCTCAGTTGATAGCACTATAACATGATAAGAAGATTCACCATTATTTGAAGATTTAGTATCTAAAGTCGGTCACCAACTTGTTACAGTTAATGATTTCAGAATCACATGGAGTATGTCTATAATTTGCATTAACTTTGATTTCTGTGCTGAAGAGTGTCAGCAGATTTCATTGTGCAAGGAATATTTATCAAGAGTTTCAATAATGCCAATTCAATTTCAATCTCATCACAGTTAAAAAGCCAGAACAGATAAATATGGGTGCACCAGAATGCGAATGTCTACGCCCTCCGAATTAGGCGAGAACAGATATCGATAACTATTTTAAAGATGGCCGTCTTTGTAATGTGGAATGAAGCACGAATTTCGTTTGACGACCTCTTCTCTACTCACTCATGGAATTCGAGACATCATAATCTATTAATTTTCAAGATGCTATGTCCAAGGTCTATGACGAATGTTCAAATTTCTTCAATAGACAATACATACACAAACCGTATTAAGATGAAAGTTACATGTCTCAAAGCTACAATGGAAAGTCCGGTGACTGCGTCAGCATTCCTTCCACGATCAGGAGATGGAATTAAGGTTTTCAAAATGGCTGTCATGATTATGATTTATATTCCACCAACAATCATGGACCATGACCTCACTAAGAGATGACTGCAATGGTGGCCATCTTGAATGTGGCATCAAGTGGTCGGTAACGAACTCGGCCTTGACTGCCACCGTCCGCGCTGACCAGGTTCTGTGCTTGGGCAAGACACGTTATTGTAATTGCTCTGAATGGCATACGACTAGCCTCTGTTATGTTGTTCAGAAACCATCAGCTACTACATGGAGACCATTACTCAAAATTAACATGGCGATTTCTAGCAAACAAACCTTCATTGCTTGAATTGACTGTGACAAGGAACGGGTTATCTGCCCGACAAGGTTAATTCTCTCTTTATAATCTGAACTCCAACAGCAGACTATAGTGGGGTTACTCGTGCCCTTCAATCTGGGTCATAAAGGTTTGTCTGAATTCCAGTTATAGCAAAATTCAGTCTCGCTTTTACAGGATATACCACGTGTTTCTCCCCGAATTCAAAATGTAGGTCACAGTGACCTACTTCGATTTACACGCTGTGGAAACTTGTGAACACCTCACAGTTCAATGGAAAATGAGAGTACACTTCAGTTTGGTATATAAAACAACAATCCTTGGAATGTTCCTACATACAGAACCAAACATCTATTTTTAGCATCCAAGGTCAAAATAACCAAGTGATGATATGGAGCACAGATTAGTTATTTTCAGGATACATCTTGTACCAAAGTTACCAAAGCTGTGGCTCAGTTTGAAATGCCCAGTGAATCAATCTGTATATTAACATCAAATCAAAGAAGACTTTTGAACATTATATAACATGAAAACACATTTTAAACTGACATGTCTTTTATTCATAATTGAACAACCACATTTCAAATTTAGATTTTTATACATTTTTTTCATATTTTATCTGCACTGGTGCTAGCATCCCATCACATGTGAATGCAATGGCATGTTATACCAGTACATAAGCCAGACATCCAAACTATATTAAAAAAAAACACATCAATGCCGCCCCATTTAGTTCACAACTCTCTCTCCCAACACTTTGATTCGCTCACTGGGTTTTACTAAATAAACATACTTTCATTTCTTCACAACTGTTCCCCAGCCATATTTCTTCCAACATCCACTTTCTTGAAATATTTTTTTCTTATCTGTTCATTACACTCAAATAAAACTGACGAAAAATGCTGCACATGTTCTTTGAGAATTTCGTTCTACATTTTGTAAAACTCCATTAATTTGTAGTCATCAACAGAATACCTATTCAAAAAGCTGTCTACCAAAAATGTGAAAAATTTATCCCATTAAAATACATTGTATTACATGAAAATGCATGTTGGAAGAAACAATTGGTTCACAGCTATATAGTTCTGATTTATAGATAAGGCACTCCAAAATAATGAAATGTTTGCTCCAGGTGTAAACTTTTCTCCTATTAAGAACCCTTCTTTAATTCAAAAAGTTCACAAATATATTAAGTGAATACCCAAAGTAAATCTTTTATAGAGTAACTTTGCAGCTTAAAACAAGTCAGTATTTTGGCAGTGCTGGTACCTATCTACAAATAAACACTTTTATGCATACTTCAGTTTGTCGTTCCTAAGTGAATACTTTAACAGATCACACATATATAAATATATATGGTAAGATCTATTTAAAAGAAATCATAATAAAAAAGCAAGAAAAAAAAAAGTGAAAATTTCTTGTCATTAACCTTTAAAATTCAAATGATATGAGATTTTATCTATGTTAAGCATTCCTGGAACAAGTTACTATTATATAAACATATATATAATCATTCGCAAACATGCTCCCTCATTAAAAAACAGAAGTTAACAAACATTTGTTCATAGCAGACTAGACTGAATTGATAAGAATATGATAATTAACGACAATTGATGTGTTGTATTCTGCCTTTTGTTTTCCCATTGTTTATAAAAGTGTATATATTCAAATAAGAAATCATTTCAAATTTCACAAAATTAGTTTTTTTAATCTACAAAATTTAGCATCACAGGAAAACCAATATTTATTCATTTAATTTTTTTGTGTGAAAAATAACTTTTGTTGTAAGAATGATGTTAAGTGTTTTAATGATATTTGAAGAAAAAAATTAAAAATACACAAATGAATGTTGCAACAAAGCAGTCTACATGTTTAACATGGCTTAGGGCCATAAAACATTGACAAATTTTCACATACCACACCTTCAAGACTAAAGACTGCACCAGTACCATTTCAAAAGTAAAAGATCTTGAACTTGACTAGGGATTTTTTGGTAACTTAATTGTATATAGTACATGCCTAGCAGTGGAAACTTGTGGTAGTGTCCCAGTGCCCTGTAATGCATATCTCCAACCATTGAAAGTTTCAATTTCTTCTCTGGAGCAGAGGTCAAAATGATACACAACAAACCGCTCCATTGTGGCATTTTGAAAACTAGATGTCTTGTTTGTTCGGATTTAATCTACAGAACCTCTTTGTATTAGCAATTCTCCCCTTGAATCAGAATAATTTCCAACTGCTCCTTTCCTTTATTTTCTTGGGAGGGGTTGGGGGGTGGGGTGGGAAGATGCAGTGGGGGTAGGGTTTACTTACATTAAAATAACACATTTAACAAGAAAAATAACTTTCAATGGTCTTCATGCAATAAAACAGGGGGACTCTACCTTAAAGATCTAAACAATGTGAAGCACCTCTTATTTTTTTCTAGGTCAAGTAAGACTCTTCACATTACCCTACCACTGACTAGAATTCAACTTTAAAAACTATAACATCAGGTCAAGTTATCAAAATGCTTTGATAAATACACATGTATTGAAATGGTTAAAATTCTTTTAAAACAAATAATTGACAAGGTAACTTCTGTTGTAAGTAATACTGAATCAATGTTTTCATACTTCTTGCTTTAAACTAATGTCACACCTATGAACTGTAAATAATTTAGTAGTGTAAGGTGATTCAGATTTCATTAGAGTAACATATTGCAAACAAGTAACATTTAAACTGGCCAGAAAAATTTGAAAATCTTTTTCTCTTACCAATTATACTCTTCAGCAAAATTAAAGTGTTTGATCAAAGGAAGGTACATGTTTTTCTAATTGAATAAATGGCAAATATACAATTCAAACATAGGTAATATCAACATAGCCCCCAATGGTATTTGTTCATCCTCTGCCACAAGGCATTCTTCCTCCGCTCAACAAAGTTCTCGTGCACCTCACTACCATGTAAACTTTTGTATCAGGGGAGGTAACTCAAAACTTGACATAACCTTTTGTAATAGGGGAGGGGTATTAAAATAGTTCTTTGTTACTATGCAACTATTACCAGCTATTAATTTTGTTTATTGTTGTTTCTTATTATTTCAATATGAACAAATTTCTGTATAAATGAAAGTTTACAACATCAGAGATTTTATCAACGTTTTTGTATGGCTAGCTTACTGAAACAATGACTGTTTAACTGATGTCGTCTAGCTTGAAAATAGTCATCCTCTAAAGATCATCCTGGTCCTAGAGTATTTAAACTACTATCAATAGTTGTATTTCTTCTGTTCATCACAACATAAAGTTTAAACGAATTTTATGCAGGAAAACAAAACAAAAACATAAACAGCACCATTGTTGATATTTTTTTCCACAAAGTCTGGATAAAAAAAAAGTCGTTATAAAAAGTAAGAAAAAAATTAAATAAAACAAAATAAGAGAAGGTAGCATATCCATATCAAATATTAACATTGTGAGACAATTTAAGATTATGCTGTAAAAAAGTGAATTCCACAGCACTGCACAATACACATCAATTATGTGCAATTGATAAATGTTGATCACAGATATGCATTATTAAGAGTCATCTTGGGGATATGATCGACATGGAGCAATACATGAGGATAATGTTAAATATCACTTTTTTAAAAAGAGAATCATGGAAGAGCAGTCCTACGGTGCGACGAGAATCACCGGTCGTTGCATAAAAATTCAACAAAGCACCACCTGGTTATTAATTTCCCTTGAGAATAATACAACGTAACTATGTTATCTACCCAGAACGTTTTAAGTCTGTCTCGTGAATATGCTGAGCGACTGGTTGATGAGGAGACTGCTAGGCAGAGGATGAAGGTGATTTAACATGAACTGTGTAGGAGTATACAACTACATAGGGGGAGATCAACCCGGCACCACACACAGTGCAGTGGAATTTGTTCCAAGACCCGACATATTTACCATAAAATAAAGATGATTATAATAAGGACAAATTAGAAAGCATGCATGCAGTGGAGACTTCATTTTGCATCTTTTTTTTCACATGATAATGACTATTTTTAAGTGTCACTTATGTCCCAAAAACAAGGAAAGTTTGATTGTGATCGACTTAATCTGCCATAAATAAGTGGCATGTATGTTTATAAAAAAAATTGAGCCAAGAAGGTTGTCAGAGTCAATAAAGATCCACTGTACCCCGTGCTTTCTGCCAAGGACTATCAACTTAAATCTTTTATGCGAGACTCAAACAAACATCCTGTCCTTCTTGAGACAGTTTTTTCCACATAAAGATGAGACTTAAGTCTTGTTCAGAAATCCATCAAGAGAATTTCAAAAAGATTTGCCGATATCAAGCACAAACAGTTACTTTGAGTCTGGCACAAAGACACAAATATAGAATTGTAAAATTACAACATGTGGCGTGGTTGACAGATCTATTGTCTAAAACATCAGAAAGGACACATACAATAATCCAAGATTACTTATCAACTTAAATAATTAAATGGGATGCACAAATAAAATCGTTCGTGCCTGCATAAGATCATTGTCTTAATTACTTCCATAGAAACAGGAGCAACTGAATAGCTGAAAAAACTACTTAAAAAGAGAAATGAACTGTTGTGAGATTTCTCTGTTATCAATTTTTATCTCTGAAGTTTTCCAAGTTAATATTTAATTTAATAATGAGTGGGACTTGTACTTGAGAAGAAATAAGAGGTCCACAACTACTGATCAATACCTGAGATAACTAGCCCGCTCACCTGCCTCTATATAGTTGTACACGAGAGATGAAAATGTATCAAATGATTACAATATTACATACTAACCAACCTCATCATTGAACACATCTGGAATGTTTCATTATCTCTCCAACAATTAAAAATACAAAAATGTACAAATACAAAATAACAGTATTGCAATATCAAACAATAGTGGCGTAACAATAGAAAAAAAAAACACCTCGACTTCAAAAATACAGGGAATCATTGATTCACTATTCAAAAACTGGCATAAATTTTGATTGAAGCTATCGCCACATTCGAGGAATTTTGGCAAATATTACGCAAGATATCAACTGTTCATTCAGTCAAAATCAATATTCCCTTTTAAAAACAATTTATGTCTACTACCACTGAAATGTATGCATAAAGCACATACTTAGGAAGTCTTGAATATCTTTTTTATAATTTCTTACTTTCACAATGAAATATCTTTGTCATTAAAACCTCCACAAAAATAGCTACATTGTATCATCATTATAAACACTATGAGATTCAGAAACTGATTCAGTGATCTTCCAATATTGTCCATTCATAAAGTTCAACAAGAGGCAGGGAGACGTTATAAACTCAGTAATAATGATATTCCTCCTATTTCATGAGCTGGAATCTCCAGCCAAGTACATAAAAAGCAGTTTCAATCATTGGTCCTGCAGAACTTGTGCTTCAAATAATATCAGAAATTTCACATTTCCGGGAAATTTCTGACAAATTGGATGTCAGAATGAGTCATTAAATTTGCTGCATTTGAATACCAAATACGTATATATATATATAAACATACATACAATATGATACATACACATTCTCTGATAAAATGTAATGCAACAAATTTTCAAATCCAGAGATTTCCGGAAATCTGAATATACTTCAGAAAATTCTTAGCATTCCCGGCATTATTGGTGCATCTTATCCCATATGCTCTCATCACGGTATAAAATACAAGAATAAGTGCATTTAAATACATGACCCGAATGAAAGACTGATTGATTGGCAAAAATACATGCTCATCCAGTTAGTGTCTGGAATTACACTAATATTTAGCAAAAGGACCACTACAGTATGTTTTGTTGAAGCAAATAATGAGGTTCTAAAGTATCAAACTGTTTTTGTCAACAGTCTGGATTTGTTCCATCCACATTTTCTTTTTTTTGGACAAATCACAGATAAGCTTACGACAAAAAACGTGTTTCACAAGTCCTGTTGAGGATATGCAATATACTGTAATTCATTCAGATAGAATATGATGCACATATTACTTCATACCAAAGAATATGCATCATTTCTCCTTGAAAGTACTGGTAATATAAAATAAATCCTGATATTAAATTATGAAATGCTCAAAGATGAACTATTGAAATACTGCCTCAATCTTTCTCTAGAAAATTGCCTTACAAAACACATCTCAGCAGGTTTATTAATTCAAAATAATGGGAAGGTAAACTTCTAGAATGTTAATCAACACCTCATGAGTCTAGACATAAGTACAGTTAAAACTGCACCTGTGGCAATAATACCATGATAAATCATAAATAAGGCTATTTTCTTTTCACAGAAAATGTGTGTTATGTTTAATAGGCAATTTTCTTTGTAAGTAGAACATCTTTTCTACTCAGACTCACATCATCAAAATAAAGTTCATTTGAAGAAAAAAAAAAGTTTGGAAACCCATATTCCAACATTTCAGTACCATACAAGGTTGTCTCTCTCAACATCATATCTGGGAAAGAGTATTCTCAAAGTCGTGAACATATAAGTACATTATTCAATTGTACTGCATTACTTGCACAATGATAAATATTATACCGATTCATCCTGTTATACCTTAAGTGCAATAATCGTACCTCAGAAAGTCCATAAAATATGGACATATGAAACTTGCACTGAATGATGTATATCTTTTACATAAATATGGAAAATTTACGAGATTGTCAGTCAAGACATCTGCAGGTAAAACAATTCTAATTGTAAATAAACTGAGAATCTTGGTAAACATCGACATTAACCCTGATTGCCTAAAACCAACATATTGTTGATCAATATATTTGTTACATGTATATGTATAGTTACCATCAATGCAACACCTTTCTAGTGCACATGAGTACACACTTATGACAGTAAAATTACACATTTAAAAATAAAAAGTTGTATAAATTGTCAAAATATGCTCTTGACACTGAAAATGTGTCAGATACATGCATGCACGCTGTCTCTTAGAGATCATAAAAAATGCCAAATAACAATGACAAGTGAAATCTTGTCATTTCTGAACTGCTCCTAAAATCAGTTCAAACTCACAGCCTCTATGTCCAGTTCAAACTTTCCAATAAAGTTTCCACGCGATGAAGAAAATACTGCTCTAGGTTGCAAATATTTTCCTATTAAGAAAGCTTTGTAATCTAACTCACTGACATTTCTGTGTAAATGGACAGACATGTATCAGATGGCACAAATTCAGATCGACAAAATGAATCTCTTTCCACCAATGGTCATAACCGAGTCATGTTTTGTATTGAACAATATACTTCAAGTTGAAAACAGGACGGCATTTATATTCAAGTTGTGTTGCAATACTACTATATTATACTACACAATAATAAAGAAAAAAGTACAAGAAAAGAAAACAAATATCTGGCTCTACATTGTGGCAACAGCACTAGAACCAGTTTTCAAATCCATATATCACTGCAACATACCACTCGGTTTAATTATATATACAAAGATCATTGTTCTAAAGGTGGGCAAAAATGTCCATGGTATTATTTTGTCACCTTGTTTATGACACCCTCTTCTTAACAGGACAGACTATTGTAATCTTTATGCCACACCTATTCACAGTGCATACTGTAACACATGGCACATATTTAGATGTGCAAAAAGCCATTTTATTTTAAAGATTTGGTAGAAGATATAAAAATAATTTGGGGATATATATATATATCTATTGTTTTTTTTGTAAACAACTACATTTTCATATCAGCAAAATTAGAAACTGAATCAGATTGTTGCTTGTCTATGAATGGATACTGTTAGCAGTTACATTCCTATCCTTGGTTCAAAACCAACAATGTTATTCTTTCTAAAACCATACAAATCTTTAACCTTCTGCAACACAGACAAAAAACAAAACAGTGATATTTTGTATGCAAGCAACAGCTAACCAATACCACAGACTATTAAACCATTTCACATCCATAAATGGATTTGATACAAAAGTACATCCATCCAATTCACAAACTGTCACATCTTTTAGGCAAGGTCAAGTAAACCAAATGAAGCTGAACTGCTGTATTTGTTTCTCTACAGAAGATTTCCTATTCTCATTACAGCAGAACAAGTTCTTGAACATTAGTGGGAAAACAAATGAAGGGGAAACTAACTATTGGTAAATGGTATATGTCTGTAGGAAACTTTTCCCCAATCTGACGGATGAAATTCTTCAATGGTTGATATAAACAGGTATCATCCATACTGAAGTACACGACCGTTTCATACCTACTACACATCTATAATAATAAACATTTCTTCCAATTTAGAGTTAAACAAATACTTAAAACAACAATTACGTTGCAATATTACCATTATCAAAAAGTAAACCGTTATTTCAAACAGCTGTGGCTTTATTCTTATAACACTTGTAAACCACCATCCTCTACTGGTGTCTGAAATTAGAAGACTTCACAAACAAAAATGCCGACAACTTCCTCTAACAAATTTTGAGGACACCAACTTCACATGTGCAGTGTGTAGGGAGGTATATCCCATCCAAAGAATTTCACAATAACTTATATTAAGGAGGGCAAAAACACTTGTTAATATAGTTATTTTTCTAGTCCTTTGTTCCTTTTTTTATTTTATCAAAAAAAAAACTTTTCTGATATAAGCAAGCACTGGTTCTAGCCGTCTGTTACCAATTGTGTAAATAAAGAGTACATGTTACAAACAAAATGTGGTTGTCATTCAAATTGTTGCTAAGTGCCGCCTTAGTTTCCCCACCAGTCAGGGCCACTGTTGCCTGCAGGAGCCCCACCATACGAGCCTCCATAAGATCCACCGTAGTTTCCATAGTTGGTGTTGAACTGATTGTATCCTGTTGTTGGAGGAGCACTGCCAGCAAAGTTTCCATAACCCGGATTTGCTGGCTTGGGCTTGTTCTGTTGACGGTAATCCCTGGCACCAAATCCAGTTCCACCAAACCTACAGGGAAGATGTCAGTATAGTTACAACTTAAGGTAATAGAGTTCTAGAACAGGAGCTCTCTACAAGTGTAACTGTCACAGAGTTATAATTCTCGACATCAGAGCGAAAATGTGAGTAGAATGTAAGTTAATGTTTTTTATTTCGTTTTGAAGGGCTTCATTCATAAAAATAATCAAAATAAATAAAAGATAAATAAGAGTCCAACCATGGTAGATGGTTTTTTTCTACACTGTTACATGATTGTTAGACTTCTCTGTCTAAATATCAAAGTGATATGAGGAGACCTACCATGGTTTTTCTACACTGTTACATGATTGTTAGACTTCTCTGTCTAAATATCAAAGTGATATGAGGAGACCTACCATGGTTTTTCTACACTGTTACATGATTGTTAGACTTCTCTGTCTAAATATCAAAGTGATATGAGGAGACCTACCATGGTTTTTCTACACTGTTACATGATTGTTAGACTTCTCTGTCTAAATATCAAAGTGATATGAGGAGACCTACCATGGTTTTTCTACACTGTTACATGATTGTTAGACTTCTCTGTCTAAATATCAAAGTGATATGAGGAGACCTACCATGGTTTTTCTACACTGTTACATGATTGTTAGACTTCTCTGTCTAAATATCAAAGTGATATGAGGAGACCTACCATGGTTTTTCTACACTGTTACATGATTGTTAGACTTCTCTGTCTAAATATCAAAGTGATATGAGGAGACCTACCATGGTTTTTCTACACTGTTACATGATTGTTAGACTTCTCTGTCTAAATATCAAAGTGATATGAGGAGACCTACCATGGTTTTTCTACACTGTTACATGATTGTTAGACTTCTCTGTCTAAATATCAAAGTGATATGAGGAGACCTACCATGGTTTTTCTACACTGTTACATGATTGTTAGACTTCTCTGTCTAAATATCAAAGTGATATGAGGAGACCTAGTCTCATGGACGACTATTTACAACTAGGATTAACTTTAATCCTGATTGTTACTATCACATATAGTAATCAAACCATTTATATTCAAGGTGTTCTCTGTTGAGATCATTTATAAACACATGTGTCAAAGTCTTGTCATGATAACATTTTAAAGTCAGAAGTTTTAAGTCAAAATTTTGAAAATCCCAAGAAAGCTTTCATAGTGACAACCTTGAACAAGGCAAAGGTCTGAAATATTTCAGTTAAGACATCTGTGGACTAAGTGGAAGTAATGTTTCAATACCTCTATCTGTTAAAGAAGTAGCGATAACAAGTTTTAAAGATTGCGACTACGTAGAAAGCAGCAGCATTCCCAAATTTTGATACTCTTCAAGTCCTGTCAGTTCATCAGTAGAGAAAACAAATTTTTAAGGGGAATGAAGTATCAATATGAATTAACATCATTCCACATTTCCTGCAGTAAGATGTATTGCCTATATATAAGATGTCACCCAATGTGGCAATACAAAACACCTAATTAGAGACAAGATGCCTTCATTTTTCTTATATCATTATAGCTTATACTTGGCAAGTTATTGTGTCATTTCAAATACAAGTAGTTTAAGTCAATCTTTACAATAGCGTCCTAAAAACAAGCTATGATGCTAGAAATATATGTTATCTACCTGCGTCCTCCCCGACGACTAGCTGGTCCAGAGGGGCGTGCTTCATAGGCCATTGATTCAAGCCAAGATGGAACTTCCTGGTGGGCTTCCACAAGCAGGTCCATCAGATCACGGATAATGTTTTTGTTCTTCTCATTGAAGAAGGATGTGGCCAGTCCTAAGCATTAAGTTATCATAAGTTATTAATGTCATCTTTATAGTAGAAAGTTACCAAAGACACAGTATGAAATGATCTGTTCACAGGAGGATGTAGAAAGTCTAAATCTATCAAAGTCCTAAGAATGTGACCAGTCCCAAGTTATCAAAGTTAATGACAGCTGCACAATATTAAGTTACCCATGATGCAGTTTGAAACCAATGAAATATAGTTAAGATTGATTTTATACAACTATTTACAATTTATGGTCAAGTACTGCATGGAAAACTTACCCAAGTTTCCAACACGTCCTGTTCTTCCAATCCTGTGGACATATTCCTCAATATCACTTGGAAGATCAAAGTTAACAACATGACGAACATTAGGGATATCCAATCCACGAGCAGCAACCTGTTTTAGAAATCACAATTAATCAAATCCTTACATACATATCTATTTTTTCTAATTTTTTTTTTCAATTTGCTGTAACTCTCATAGTAAGGGATAAAAAAATCAACAATTAAAGTTTTATGTTGTAATTACTGACTAGAAAGGCATGAAACTTAATAACTCCATAACTCTGACCCGTTTTACCAGTTAGATTTTTATGACCTATGAAATGAAAGAAAGGAGAGCTAAAAAGAAATGAACCAATCACAAGTAATGTATTTTAATTAGACTACATACAGCAGTTGCGACAAGGATGGGCCTGTCACCATTTCTGAACTGTCGCAGAGCCTCTTCTCTCTCTTTCTGTGAGCGATCACCATGAATACTTGTGGCAGGGTAGCCTTCCATGATGAGAAAGTCCTCAAGTGCATCAGCACCTTTCTTGGTCTCCACAAATGTCAAGGTCAGAGCTTCTGGACCAGCTAACAAACATACAATAATTAGTGTCAGACAACTTTCTACTCAGAGTAAAATCCTAAAATTACTAGAAGATTTCAGAGACATGTTTCTATTTTGTTACCATTCTATAAATCCGTTTTAAAAACATTGAATGAGATTCTTACACATCATCACTAACCTGCAGCATTAAGAAGATCAAGAAGGAAGGAGCGTTTGTCCCCTTCCTCGACCCAGACTACCTTCTGTGTGATGTTCTCACTTGTACTTCCTACTCTGCCCACTGCCAAGAAGATGTAGTTGTCCAAGAAGTCACGGGCCAGAATCTGTAACATTGTAAGTCAAGATGAGATTTTTGTGCACTGTCACCATGAATGGTGTCATAATACTTCATTGTCTTAATTTTTAAATTTTTGTTTTGCATTCTCAATCAATATGATCTGTAAATAAACTGAATTACCATATTCTGTACTCACCTGGATTTCCTTTGGAAAGGTAGCACTAAACATGAGGGTCTGTCTAGTGCCAGAAGGAGGCATAGTGTCTTTCTCCACAATTCTACGAATCTGGGGTTCAAAACCCATGTCCAACATCCTGTCAGCCTCGTCCAAAACTAAGAATCTGTGGGTAATAATTCACATATATTTGAGTTATAATCCATTGTCACTATTTAAAAACTGAAAGTGTTTTTGAGTACTGCAACTCAAAATAGGTCTTCAAGGTAGAACTACAATATTAAAATCATAAAACTTTGATATTATACAATAAATATATCCATGATATTTTGCATATGAGCACTTTAAATATAATTTTGTATGATCAAGAAATCCTGTCGCAAACTTACATATCGTATAAAGAAATCAAGAAAGGACAACTTAAAGAGTGAGCATTACATAAAAATATCTTTATTCCCCTTTCAAACAGCATCACTGAAATTTGTCGTGAATTTCTCATTTTACCAAACCTTCCAAAATTCTAAGACATGTTTCACACATTTAATAACGATATTATATAAGAAACTTCAAGAATATTTTACAGGGTAAATGTATCAGTAGTCTTATAATTTTCTTGATGAATTTGTAGTAGCTACAATACCAAGATAGCCGAGCACTACAGCCCAACCTCCAACGATGCAAATCACTACATTTTATATAGCTTTGTTTTAACCCAGGGTATGTCACAGTGTACACCTCTGGGGATCGCAGAGCCATGTGTAAAAGCATGAATATGTTGCACATACCAAAACTGACAATCTTTATTCTGACAAGTTTACTACTGAAAGCAATTCTCGCAAAAAACTAAGCTATGGAACTAAGTTTTCTACAAGCATAATGATATATATTCAATAGTATATGTGAGATTAGAAAAGTGGGAGTCTAGAGCTCCTCATTGTGGCTATTTTTACTGTAAAATTAACGCAAGAAGAAACGAAGGTTATTCCTACAAATAACAGTTTAACAACTTACTTGCAGTAGTCAAGACCAATCTTGCCTCGTTCAATCATGTCAACAAGACGTCCAGGGGTAGCAACTAATAGGTGACAGCCACGATCAAGGTCACGGATCTGGGCACCAATGTCAGCTCCTCCATACACTACACAGGGACGAACACGAGACCTGTATGAAAACTGGAGAAAAAACCCAATAAAGGTCAATTAAAAGAAAAGTTCTGTTAAATCTCATCTAATTTGGCCTAAAAAACTCTTTCTCCCATTTTCATTTTTATGTCTCTCATTTCTTATGGTTTTTCATTCATTTCATTTATACATCATATCTGTAGTAGCTACAATACCAAGATAGCTGAGCACCACAGCCCAACCTCCAACGATGCAAATCACTACATTTTATATAGCTTTGTTTTAACCCAGGGTATGTCACAGTGTACACCTCTGGGGATCGCAGAGCACTAAATTCTAATATCAATTTCCATAATATAACACCATTTTTAATCTTTAAAATTGTTTTAAAAATGATCAAACACTTTCTAGCATGGTTACAAAATTACAATGTTTACCTTACGAGCTTCATCATAAATCTGTGAGGCCAACTCACGGGTAGGTGCCAAGATTAAAGCAACAGGATATTGCTTCCTTCGGGAATAGCGTCCCTAAAAATTTCCAAAAAGAGCATATGACATTATGAGCAGTTTCTAAAACAAAGAGAAATTCTGAAGAAAAATTATACCATCACAATTCAAGGATTTAGATTTTTAATGTAACAATGGAAAACAAGTGCAAAAGTGAATATTTGTAAACGATATATTATTACAGGTAAATTTTGACACCGGGCAAATATGACTTTTATTGGGAAGGGTGAATAATAAGTGGCATGGCAACAAGTGCACTATAACATCACCAAAGGATAAAATGAGAAAATGGTGAACTATGAAGGACATTATCAACAGATATTAGAATAAAAAAACTTGTTTGTAAGCCTGAAGCACAAAGTTGTTAAATTTTAATCTGCTTTGAGTGTTTCAAAAAATTCTATAAATTCTCAACTAACATCTTACTTTGAAAACTATTAAAGCTATTCATATTTCTATCATTGTACATAATTAAGCATTAATCTCACTTCAATGCTTTTTGTACTGAATGTATTTTGCTAGAGTACAATTATGCTAATTGCAGTTGCTGTTTACACCTTAAGTAATGTGTATGAGCAAATACATCATTGTCCTAGTAATAAAAAGACTATATATGTTTACAATATCTAACATTTTAGACAGAAAAATCTGTGAAGACATTGAAAACAGGGGGAGATAGCATAACTGGAAACGGAATAGAACAAAAGACTTTTACTAGAAAATACTAAAGATAAAAAATCGAAGCTGTTTGACTGCCTTGATATGAGTAACAACGCAACCCTGCTCTAAAATTAGCTTGATGTTAATTGTTTTAAAAAACAATAAGGTAAATGATTTCACTTGGTAAATGTTTTCATTTCATCTCACCTGATTGTTCTGCACGGGGGCATCGCCTGGTCCATTGTCATACACACGGTTCAACACTGGCACCAAGAAAGCAGCAGTCTTTCCCGATCCTAGTAAGTTAGATAAATGTAAAAGCATAATTAAAATCTACCTCTTTCTATAGAACATTTTTCTACTAATTTCAAATGATAGTGTTGCAGCACCAGTAATACATTCCTCTTTCCAAAGTTTTTAAAGCTTTCTTGATATTCCTTGATACCATATCTATCTTGGTTATCCTTGATAGGTGAAAAGAACTTGTATAAATATTCTATGGAACATATGCATCATCACTTTACCAAACTTCAGGAACCATGTGCCTAAATATGTGGGGTTGTATTTTACTTACCAGTCTGGGCACAAGCCATCAAATCACGTTTGGCCAGAACAATGGGGATGGAGTACTTCTGTACTGGGGTTGGCTTGGCATATTTGCTAAGGATAATGTTGTTACGAATGATCTCTCCAAGTTCTGTTTCCTCAAACTGAAATAACGGTTAGGTATTAGAAAGAGACCAAACACAGTGAAAAGGGTCATTGGTAACTGTACATTCAACTAAATACTGGATTTTTCCATCACTAAAATAAAAGCTGGGAAGTGTTTTCTCCTTGCCATTTAAAGTACTTTCCATGTTTGTCAGATGCAAAAAAAGACATGAAAAATACTAAAAAATCCTTTATATAAATCAGATTTTACCAATAGCATGGCACAATGTTTTTTCAACAAGTTTATTAAATTCTCAAATTTACCAATTAAATAACCACTTGTAGAAACAACTGAAATGTCACTCACAGATTCAATATGTTTTGGGCAGCTTTCTCCAGTAGCTTCCACTGGGATGTCTTCATATTTGTCAAAGTTGATACCAGTGTTACCGCCACCAAACAGCTCCCTGTTATTAAACATTTAAAAGCATCTGGTTTTTATCTTATATATCTGATGAATATTATATACAGTATCTCATTAGCTGTACTGACAAAAGGCAACTCAACTGCTTTTGTGGAATTTCTTTCTAAAATGAAAAACATATTTACAAATCTATCTGTTTGAAAATGTTACCTTTCAGCTGAAATTTAAAAGATGCCACTATGCTACTTTTCAATTACTGTAAAGAAAAAAAGTGATTTTCCTAAATCTGAAATATTTCTTGAAATCCAACACTATGAAAAGAAAAAAAAGTCTGGAGTTATTTAAGATTTTTCATTAGTTCATTTTGATTGACCTTTAGCTCAATACCTCCCCCCCAAAAAGGAAATTTTAATTCCCAAACGAAAATGTAATAGTTTTTGGTCAATATTGCTGTAAAATACATCCCAATAACAATATAACTTCTGCTTCACAGGATGAAATTCAAAAACATACAATTCCAGACGGTCGTTCCTCTGCAGAGCCACATTCCAGTTCTCTTTAGTGGGTTCTGGAGCCCAACGACTGTTGGTCACTACACTACACTCAGTCCTGTTGTCCCAGCGGTTGCCCTGGTTATTCCAATTCTGGGAAGGTGCACTGCCAGCCCTTTGTTCCCGTGGAGCACGATCATCATCCAGGTTATCCCAGCGAGAATTGCCTGGTGGTGGGTGATTCTGGTGTGGAGGCATGCTTCCCTGTCTCATGCCACGGTCACTGCTTCCTCCGCCACGACCATTGTACCTGGTACAAATCAAGACGTTCATACTATTTTCGTCAAGAAACCTACATGTTTTATGCCTCTTACTCTAACTAATTAATAAATTTTGGCACCTGATTAACCAAAGCAATGACAAGATTCTTATTTCTCAGTTATGGAAATCTTTAGTTTGAGAGAAAAATACTTCAATGTTGCCAAAACTCTTTTAAACTGCCTTACCATAAAACTACCAGGCTTTTGTACATAAAACAAGATCCTAACATAAGCAGGAGAAGCTGAGCTGCACACAAACTACTTTCATACTTATATCCACTATTAAGATTTTTTGGTAATCAAAATTTAGGAACCACACACTAAATAGTGACACCTCATTACATTTTTTTCTCCCTTTGCTATTATAGTTTATGTGCTTCAGTGTTAAATGTTAAATCATAAAGCTAAAAATTGAATGCACAACTTACCTTCCACCTCCGTTGGCTTGATAGCCTCCTTGTCCTCCTCCTCGACGATTGAAGGAGTTGAAGTTACCACCTTGGCCACCATAGTTGCCACCTTGGTAACCTCCTCGGCTGTAGTTGTTGTATCCACCACGTCCATCACCCATGTCTATGAATCACAAAAGAATCTCAACATTTGGATAACCTTAGCAATCATCATGACATGTATTTCTCCGTGACAGTACAATTTAAACATATCTACAAGCACCTTAAGTTAAACATATCCATCAGGATCTCAAATCTGGACTTGTTTTACACTTGCTAAAATTAAATACCAAACTGATAACTTATTTTAATTGCTTAAATACACCTCAATCTTTCAGTGATCAATTTACATGCGAGTCTTGAGTCCTGTACTTGTATAATTTTGATGGGACTCATGGAATTTCCGAAAATACTTAAATCTAACATTGCAGGACTCATTTTTCTTTTGCAATAATGTTCAAAAGGACTTATGAAAATATATTGTAAATTCATCACTGAACTTAGGAAATCCTTTTAGTTTCAAAATAAATTATGCTGGAATTACCATTTGAACATGTATGTAAACATTACTAAAGTATAAGAAATCAACTGCTTACTGGGCTGGTTGAAGGTCTGGGGAGGCATTCCATTCATGTTGAATCCACCACGGCCCTGATTGTTGTAGCCTCCATAGCCACCTAGGATAATCAAATGGTTTCTTGATAAAATGTTCCATGTAAAATGTCATTTCCAGTCAAATGTCAATACATAACTGCTTCAAAGATGGAGAATTCAGAGATACAAATTCAGAAATTTTTTAAATAGTAAATCGAAGTAAAAACATATAAAACCCACTTTTCATTCATGACGTCATGTATATGTGTCCAAAACATATTTTTGTATCTATTTCTAAGCATCATAGAATCCAACAGATATCTCTCTATAAGGCACGTGAAAAGTACAGACTACATACAGAGTGAGTGAAGAAAGTGAGTGATCATCATTATAAACAGATCAGATTCAGTAAATATCAATAAGTGTTGAATCAATCAATTAATTATCCATGATACATAGTTTTTTACAAACCACTAATAGCTCAAGAAAAAAAATTAATTTCTAATCATTATTTGTTTATCAATCCTTATAATATTACATATATAACATTATTGTTGATCAAAATTAACATTATGAAACATATTGAAGTACATCATGCAATGATTAAAAGCAATGGAAATCCAAATAAAAATTTGCAACTAAAATACAGCATACAATATATTTTAGAATAAAGCAAATATTGAAAATCAAAATTATGAATAACTGAATTGATATTCTGATGAGATTCTTCTAAATTCAATATTTCCAAATAAACAATGCGATCAGGACTTGTGCTTGTTCGGATGCCCAAGGAAAATGCTAGCACTTGATTCCAGGAGATATTGATCATGATTCAGTACCTATTGGAAGAAGAACCAATAAGTAATTCATTATCCTGCTAAAAGCTATCAGGAATTTTTTTTATTTGACTCAAATTTGATTTTACATGACAACAGATCAAGCAAATTTTGCCGAAATTGGGAAGCACTAGTTTTTTTATGCTGTTCAACATATTCATTGAAATGAAGGAATGTGAAGTCACAGCCAAAGTGAATGTTTTATAAATGTTAAAATGAGATAACGGTTTTCTAATTTAAAATATCTACACATTCCATTCATCCATCCATGCAGGAAAAAATAACTTCACCAGTGTGACACTTTCAGATCTTCATAATTTCAATTAGTTCTTTCACAACACAATCCTGCTGCATTTGACATTACACTTTAGCAATGTTTGAGGTTTTTTTTTCAACTTTTGACGTCACTATTTAAAATGCTGTGGTCATGTGAACAGATCAGTTACAGATATATACCATTTCCGAAAAATTGTCCATTTTGTAAACAGAATGTTCAAAGTAAAAAAAAAAAGGCTATCAATTTCCTTGGGAAACAATTTCAGTATATCCATTAACGTCTCAGCTAACTATGGTTTTCAACATCAGAAGTCCTGGCAATGTTGATACAAGATCCTTGACGTCTATTATTATACTTTCATTTCACAGAATATCTCTATATCAATGTCATCCTTCTCCCCAGATATTAGGATTTTTATCAACAACACACTAAATCTTATATTGCCTGACTTCTATACTGATGAGTGTGTCAATCTTATACACATTATTGGCTATGGATCTGCCTACATTTTGATCTATTAACGGGGATACACATGTGCCTACATACCTCGACCACCACTGTCAGATCCGGGTGGGAAGTTGCCTGGTACCGGAGCACCGTCTCGCTGGTGAGGGGGAACATAACGACTACCAGTTGGTGGAGGCACATTGGGAGGTGGTCCTGTCATATGGAAATAACCCAAGTTATTATGGCCAACTAGTACCCATTAAAGTTTACCAGCTAAAACAGCACCTTTCCCTCAAGCTATTACAGCCAACTAGTACCCACAGCAGTTTCAAGCTATAACAATAGTACCTGTCCCTCCTGAAATCATTTAAGCTATCCAGTACCCACAACAGTTCATCAGCTATAAATGGAACTTGTCCCTTCCAGAGTTAATATAGTCATCTACAACTAGCACCCACACCAGTTTACCAGCTGTAACAGTCCCCGTCTTTCCCAGAGTTATTATAGCCATCGATAGCTAGCACCCCACTCTAGTTTACCAACTGTAACCTTTCCCAAGGTATAATATTCATCTGCAGCTAACTAGCACCTACACCAGTTTACCAGCTATAACAGCACATGTCCTTTCAAAAGGTATTATATTCACCTGAAGCCAGCTAGTATCCACACCAGTTCACAAGCTTTATCAGTCCCCATCCCTCTCCTAGTTGTTAAAGCCATCTAGTGTCAGTTTAATTACCAGCTATAACATTATTTGTTCCTCCCCCAAGGTATTACACCTATCTAGTACCCACACTATTTTACCAGTTATAACAGTATTCCTCCCAACAGATTTTTCTATAAATCTTTCCCTCTCTAACACCTACAAGGAGACATGTCTCACACACATTTTACCCTCTTTTCTGTTGACAAACTTACACACACCTCATCCTCTCAAATGGTTATCTTTCACAGACCTCTCCTTCACAAAAATGCTTTTTTTTTTTAATTAAACCTGTCCCTTCCAAATATTTATTTTGCACATCTGTAACAGTAGCCTACAGAATGGAAAGCTCATGTTCACCTTTCTCTCCAAGTGGTGTAAAGGAAAAATGCATAGTAGCTATCTGCTCACTTCTCTCTTACAGTGGTTTACATTCACTGACTTTACCCTTCCTGAGATACAAGACTGTGTGGTAACTAATTGACGTGATCTTGCACACATCTTTCTACCAACAGTGACATATAATCTCAACTCCTAAATCATAAAGCTGCGAAAAGGATTTTCATTACATAAGCTGTCATTCCTCCCACCACTTTAGATCAATGCAATGGTACTTGTACACATGCAAGTGATATGACCTAGTAAGTATCTGAACCTTAGTGCCCCTCCACAATAATGATAACCAGCTTAATGACCAAACCAAAACCTTGTCCACAATTCTTAGTCACCATATAATATATAAATCATTCATCTATTCTGATATCATTGTTATAATTGATGTATTCTGTGTTGTTATACTTGGTTTCAAATTTTTCTTTCAAGCTCATTAATTATTAAGTTGTTAGTTTATCCAACACACATTCCATTAAAGAATCACTGGGCATGAAAGATATTGAAAACTGTTATATGAAATCATACAATCAATTTTAGTTTTTATAAACATCTATAAGATGTAATATATTTTGGTACTATTTACAAGATTACACTACAAGTGTAGTGTCAACAAAATGGCATCATTGACAGTAGGATGCTATGGCTCACAAACACTTAACGGATTCAGATCATTTTTTTAAAACAATAACCCATTTTCTGATTTTGCTATTTCAATAGTTCAAATTTTATTCATCTTGCATTAAATTTAAGAGATATGTAATTTGATGAATGTCAACAAGCAGGTCAAGTCTTTTTGCTTTTTATGAATGATTGAGATGTTAAGATACCCTAAAAGTTAATGAATTTGAACTTTCACTAGTACACTGTAGAGTAAGGCAATGGAAAGGTTTGCAGAAGTGGTGCGTTTCATTTAGTATATGTATGTTTTTATATGGATGGTTAGCTATGAAATATTGGCAATACATCAATTCAAACTTCCCAAAATTGATTCATGAAATTGATTTCCATGTTTTAGTAAATTAACTGAACTAAACTACATGCAGTGATATATTTTCAAGGGCTGTCACAAGTGTCTGATCTAATATCTGAATGAGACAGATTTGACAGAAAACTAGCTAAGAAAAGTGTAACCTGTTACCTGTTCAAAACATTTAACTCTAATAACCAATTTTAACAACATTTCATGTCCAATTTGTATGTCAATATGATGTTGTGGTACTCTCAATTCCATAAATGTGTGGATAAATCCAGAGATATTCCATGTGGAGGGGACTTTTTCAGCATGTGATATTTCTGATTGAATCGATCTCCAAAATTGTTCAACGATGCATACTTGCACAAATTTCTTGACCTCATTTAATGCCTTAAATCTTGATTCAGCTAGTCTCTTAATTATGTCTTCATGAAAAGGCAAACATCCTAACTATGATGCGAGTAGAGCCTTCTTTGAAAGGGAAAAGAGAGCAGACTTCTGAAATGGTTGATTTCAACAAATTTTAACCGGTGTGACTCTGGGATAAGCACAAGCAGGCCTACAGGGAAATTAAGTGTCACAAATCACATACATACAAGCAGAATCAAACTGCATAGGAGTTGGTGCATTATTCTCTATCTGCTTGTCCAGCTTCAGTAGGAATGATTTTTTTAAAATTGCATTGCTGACCAGAACATGAACAGTTATGTGAAGTTTCTCAGAATAGCTGCAGAAGTAAGAAAATCAATCAGATTTCCTTGGTCTGCTGACTCAACCATTACTAGATTTTAATGTTGGTATTTTTCATGACAAAAAACATTAACTATGCTGAGACAAATCTTGATGTGGAAAAACACTAAGGCTAATCGCAATCAAAAACAGTGAATTCTGTTTGTTATTTGAATTTTGGTCTAAATAGTCCTTATTTTCTGAAGCAGTATTTTTTCTAAAGTGTAAGATTATATATCACAGGTGCATTCTATGTGGGGTCAATATTTGTGTCTGTGACAGCCCTATTTTTCTTCTATTTCAAATTGTCAAGTCATATCAATTACAAAAAATTAAAAAAAAACAAACATGTTATATAATGGATCTGTCTAAATACATATCTAGATCTAAACTGTATAAATTTAATACATCTAGCCTAAACTAAAGATGAAATGCAAAATTGATGAAAGTTAAGATTTTATTTTTTAAAAACTGAACAAAAACTTGCATGATTGAAATGTTCAAAAACACAACATGAACAAAGCTGAAGTATTTGAGATAATAAAAAGAGCTTCATATGCAGGATGTGTAAAGAACTAGCTGCCGAGACATGCAGCAGCCGACACAACAGATAAAGGCAACATAAAATGAAGATGAACAATAATACAACACTCATATGTATAGAAACACCTAAAGCTACTATGTCTCCAGATTTCAAAATGTTCTGTATCATCCTCCCACCCTCCTTAAATTTCACTGGATAGGTTGTAATTAAAAAATTCTTTCTAAGCAAAGTCAAAATTACCCAAATTAGTACAATACTCTATCACTTAAACATGTAAGACTGAGATTTTGGAATCCCTTACTTCAACTGTCAGGTGACAATATACCAGGTTTACAGATGTGTGTTTTTGCCGGTTTCAACATTTAGGGTTGTCCGACTCAACTGCCTGGGGTAAAAAGAATAACTTGAAATATAATTTTGGATCTGAAGAAGTAAAAAATTAATGCAAAAGAGCAATAGACAAAAGCTTGCTAACAATTTCATAAATAATATTGCTTCAAACAGACTGTCAAATTGGCAACAAGTTAGGAATAAAAGCAAAAATACAAAAATTCTTGTCACAGCATTATCTATGCTGAATAGAGTAAGGAAGAAATAAATTACATACAGATACCATGAACAAATAAACAAAAGGCACTCTCAAACAAAAAAAAGGAGGTAATGATTGCAATTCTAAGTTCCTGATTTCAAAATTTCTTCATACCAGGAACTACGGCAATACCACACAAATCTGAAAATGGAGACCCGACAATTATGAAGGACAAATACACAGGCAGTTGTCAGGACAGACAGAATTCAGATGAAAAATAAAGACAGCACTTGTTACTGTCACTTCTTCCATTCTGTTTTATCAAATGTTTGACACCATCTCAAAATGGGTCATTTATTATGACCAGTAAAATTGTTTACCAACTTTAATCTCTTAACACAGAAGATTAAATATGGAAACAAAATATAAATGAGATATCCTAACAACTGGTCAGTGCTCGGAATAGTTACAAAAAACCTAAACTTCCCGACCTATTAGGAATTTCTACAACACCCAGTAAAGTGGCTTGTTCTGATTTTGGACATAGTATCTTTAAGTGGCGAGATAATACAACACCTTGATGGTAGAATGTTTGCTCCTGAAATCTGGGGTTTACGTTGTTAGGTCGATATTTTGGTCCACCATCTACAAATCACAAAAGGTGTGATAATATCACAAAGATGTGATCTCAATGAAGGCTTTCAATATCTAAATTAACAAAACCTTGTCTATTCTTACATACACCATTCATTCCAGATATATCAGTCTTTTTAAGGATCAACTGGTCTCCTTAATTGTTTCTCAAGTCTACCATGATTACCGTCATTTATCTACATGGGACCAAGACTTCATGAGAGAACACATCAAAATCTACTTGAGAATTTTGATTCTCAATTTACTACTGTAATAAGATCATCTCTTTTATCAATATCTGACTACTTGAGACATGAGTCAAAAGGCATTTACTAACATCCATTTATAAATTTCTGTCTTATAGTAACAGAGTCAAACAGACACTAACAGTGTGGACATTGACTATGTTTGATTATCATGAGTCTGACTGCAAAATTAAAAACTTGCAGTGTCTAGGTATTATGCAAATTATGAAACACCTTCACAATATTTATAGATCTTATGTAAAAGATAACTCAAACAGTGTTGAATCAGATTCAATAAGAAAAAAAGGAACATCTGAACTAGGTTCCCAAGCGGTAAGTACTAATAAATAAATTATACAGCAGCTGGAACACAGTAGCATCCAACTGCATGCAATAGAATATTGCTATGAAATCTGGTTCAGAAGTCTCTACGAGTCACCTCATCAATTCACAACAGAGAGGGTTCTGTATACATCTTGGTGTTTCCTTTGACAGATCTTTGGCTGTGGTAGATGAACAACACAAATTGTCATGTTTATAACTAAGGGTTTGTTTTAATTTCATTTATATGTTTGGTTAGTAAGGCTTTTTTCCTCAAAGTGCATTTGTCCATAACACCACACAGTGCGACGCTTTGAGGAATACAAGTATTGTTTTTCTAATGAAATCAAATCAAATGAACTTGTACCTTTAGCAATAAAAATGTATTAAACATCTTAATGCTTTTCTAAAAATGTTGATACAAAAAATGCAGAAATGTTTCCATTGAGATGAGCAAGATGCTCCTACTCTGCTTCTTAACAAGAAGCCAATCAACCGTGACATGAATGTACACAATATCTACAAAGGATTAATTTCATCAAAAAGTTATTTTGGTTAATTTTCTCTTGATAATTTTGTTGTCTCTGACCCACTTCTTTCTAGACGCCTTAGTTGAACTTAAAAGAAAAAAAAAATCCCATAAAACTCTGATTTCATTTTTCTGAAAATTTATGAAGAATGTAAAAAAAAAAAGAAAATGGGGATCAGAAATATAGGTACGGTAATCCACACCACACTCCCAGCACACAAATCTATCCAAATGGATCATAATTTTTTTTGATAGGCAAGCATGTTTTGCACCCAATCATGAAAAATTATAAATGTGGCAACCAAAAAAAAATTAGAATCTTAAGAAACACTTTACTTACGACTGAAGTTATCTCCCCTATTACCACTGTAGGGGCGACCAGAGTTGATGTCTATCCCAGCAAACTGCAAAAAAGAACACCAACTTTTATGTAAAAAGTTCCATTTATATCAGTTTTGTTATCATCCGCATAGTTTCTCATGGTTATTTCTAATCTAAATTTAAGTTTATACAAAAACTGAAAGAAAAAACAATACCTGGAATCAAACTCAGGACCTTATCCAACTACATTGCTCTCATCTTCTGTTTGAGCAATAAACATTTCTGAGAAATAAATTTCAATAGTCAAGTTGTTAGAAAGTGGCTAGATGATATGTTCTTCCTCCAAGAATGAACAAACCATGGGCACCTATGGATTATTTTTGCAATAATGAACCATTATAAACTTCATCTATTTTACTTCAGCTTGCATATAAATCACGGTTTTCAGCCTTGCTGGAAGTGTGTGCAAGTACCAAAGAAAAAAACTGGTTTGGAAGACTCAATACCTTTTCACATCAGAGAAACAAGACCCAGCTGGCTTGGTGAAAGGCATGTGTGTTACCCATTTTTTAATTGCTTCTGCTATGAAAATATTGGCAGACCTTAAGATTATTCACCTATAGACTATAAATAGACAAAAGGTACTCTATGGGCAGCCCCATATCAATAAATATGGTTCAGATGATATCAATTGAAGTTGTCATTTACTTTTTGAGCAATTCAATAATCATGAAAGCTGATATGCTGAAAGTTACTTATCACTCCACTAATGGCATGTTTGTTTTCCATGGTTTTCTCCATTTGTCTCTCAGCACAAATCATTTAACTAGAGAAATAAAGGTTCCTTACCATTTCCTTTAAAAATGATTCCGGTTTAATCTGGTAATATGTTTATGTGTCATGACTTATTTAGGATAAACTGGTTGGGCCCAACCTTTAGCTCGGGTTTGCGAGGATGCAAAGGAACTCAATAGTGTCTTATTACACAGAATTGTTCTAACCTAAAGTCTAAACCCTCGACTAACTGTGAGCTTATAAGTTCCAGTGCATCCTCTCAAACCCAAGAATGTTCTCAACATAATATAATCTTCTCTGTCACTTCGGAATATAATGTGTTTAATCTTTTCAACAGACATGATTGCTAAGCTGTCTTCGATCTTAAAGGGATCAGCCGGTCGGAAGGGGAGGGGGAGGGGGTGGCGAGCCAAGTAGTGATAATACTTGAAATTTTAAGAAAATGTACTTTGTCACACTTACAGAAAGTCAATAGAACAGAAATATCAAAGAAGATAAAACCCTACTAATATTATAGAAGTCAATTTCGTCCTAAAAGGAAATTGCACAACCCAACATTCTGAATAATGCCGGTCGCCATTTTGTTTGATATCCCGAACGATGCGAGCACGTTGCCCGTTGAGAAAATTTCTATTTCTTCTCTGTGAGAGACTTACGTGATGTCAGAATCATTGGAAAATAAAATGTTAATGTCACACTCAAACTTACTTGCTGTTCTAGACCCTGCACATTTTGAGTTGGAACATTTGACATATTATAAATTCGGATGACACTTTTCGACGGCTGCTTTGCTTGATGGTTATAGGCCAACAGGCTTATGCACAAAAGGCCTGATAAAAATAGCCATGCATTGATCACGTGATGGGGCGACACAGTAGTTATTTTAATTTTTCTCAATTTCCAAAACACGTTGAAGTAGTTTAATTCAAGAAGGGCAACTCGACATATTTATTTTTCCTATTAGCGTAAAAGTTGACATTTATTGCTCTCTTATTATACAAAAATATAAGATTTAGCTGAACAAATGATTAAAGTTTATTTCATAAATCGTTGGGAACGATCATTCGTTGTTCCCGGAGTCTTTTTAGTTGCTAAATGTGTGTCCATATATTCAAAACGTAATTCAAAAGACAAAATATTACATGTGTTTAAAGATTAATTGAAATATGAATGTGTATATGCGTGCTCCAGATATATATGAAGAAAGTCGATGTATCGCTTATGTATGGAACAGACTATAAGTGTCGTAAACAAAATGTGTAATATACGACAATACTTTTTATTAACATCATTTAAAGTAATCTAAAGAAATGTGTGGACTTAAAGCTTAAGAACTAAATTTCATGTCTTAGACTATTTCTTAATGAATAAATATTTTATCAACTTTTGCTATTTCCAACAACCGGTCGGCCTCTTCCGGAAATCGGCCATCATTGAGTGAGTGGCATATGTAGTTAGAAATTTCAATCCGATATAAATTCTCTCCATCGAGCTATGTTTAAGGAAATAGTCAAATTCAACACATTATTAAATCATTTTACTTTAGATATCTGTTGATATTTAAGTTTAAAAGAAGCTAAATGATATTTAAAAGTACATTTTATCGGACATGTCCCATTGCTTGCGGATTGTTATGATAACGATGTCTGTAGTTGCTTTACATTTACGCGTTCCTGGCTAATGGGTATCTGAATGTACGTCACTTTCACGATGGCATTACAGTTTAAACCCAGTGTATTAGTCGAATATAGTGTCATGTTGGGAGGATGTGCTAATTGTGCAATACTTCTCTGTAGAAGTTTAGAAAACGAGGGTTGCAGTTCAGAGGTTTGCCATTTGTAACACAAATGTTAGTTAGGGCAAACCAAGTTAACATAAACTAACTGATCTTGCATGGTCTGCATTTTGTACCCGAAATGTTGATTAACTTAGCGTTTTAAAATGCTATTTCTGCATAAAGGTACAACCCACAACTCCATTGTCGCCAATATGACTAGTGGGAAGTTCCCTCAGTCAAAGCGCAGGAATCGGACGTTCTGTATGTGAAATATATAGGTACTATGCTACTTGATAACAGAAATTAATAAGAATAATAGCAATTCATTTCACATAGAATACTGATTCCAGTTGTCAAAGGGTAGAGTCCGAATGGTATTAATTGAAATCACAGCAGTGGAAGGGCATTTTTAGGTTCTCCTCCTTTTATATTTAGTGTTTAAGAGTTCAAAACATCGGAGGGTTAAATGCTTACATGGAGATGTTTGTTGTAGTCTCCGAGGTCAAAGACTGAAAAAGGAAGTACAGGGTTTTCCATAATTTTGTTAGTAGTAGGCTGTGTAGTGAAAGTAGGAGGTTGGCCTGCCGTGTACGGAACATTATTACAGAACCGGATTGGTGTTGGCGGCCAAATGATCAAATTGGCCGGCGGCCGGCTCTTATGGAAAACCCAGAAGTAGTTTAGAAGTTGGGAATGTTATTGTTATTAACTAATTGTAATTTCCCTTCAGTCAAGTGATAGGAGGGGAAAGATACCAATTGGGAATAAAAAGATACCATTTGGAGAATAATTCCCTTTTCCTAAAGTACAGGATCCATTAAAGATAGCAGACTGCCGAAAGTACAATTGTAGTCAACTTAGGGATAAATATCAAAAGAACATCTGTCCACGATGTGTGAAAGTGTTAGAAACTGTGTGTGAACAATATCAGATATTTGGGGGGAAAGCTTCATTATTAAGATTTATCTTTGTTTGGGAACACTTAGGTCTACATTTGGTAATTAAATCTGCTGTGATGCAAAATTTGGTAATTATAAGTTACAATGAAAATTTTGTATTACAGAGCACAATGGGTCGTGTTATCAGATCCCAGAGAAAGGGTCCTGGGGGCATCTTCAAGGCCCACACAAGAACCAGGAAAGGAAAGGCCGCTCTTAGACCTGTGGACTTTGCTGAACGTCATGGATACATCAAGGGTGTGATCAGGGTAAGATTTTGTATGAATGATAAAAACTATGATGCTATTGTATTTTTCCAAAATTTAGAGGGAAACAAATCAAGAATATTTTACCTATTTATGAAGAAAATATATCATCCCAATTTAGAGAGGTATTTGCTGTTAAAAAAAAACTGAATCTAAATGAAAAAAACAACTGTTTAATTTTGAATAAGATATTAACTTTGCATTCTGTCTAATGTAAATTTATCCCCTAACATCCAACCTCTATAAGTATTACGGGTTGAATTTTGCCATCTTTATTTCAGTGCAAGAGATAAATCCATTTTGGTTTTGGTGATGAAGTTGGTTAATTGTTTTATCTTTTGTTTCTCCTATTGATGGTGGTTGATCTCTTGTTCACAGGACATCATCCATGACCCAGGCAGAGGTGCCCCTCTCGCAAAGGTGGCATTCCGTGATCCCTACAAGTACAGACATAAGACCGAAACATTTGTTGCTGCCGAGGGAATGTACACTGGACAGTTTGTGTATTGTGGAAAGAAGGGTAATTATCGAATTAGAAACTTACTGCAAGGCAGAAGTAATTCAATAATCTAGCTATTAAGATTACATTGGATACGGTTATATCTTGTACTAATATGGCACTAGTTCAAAAAACAATGGCTCTGACCATGGTCTCTACTGGTATTTTCTTTGCTACTTTTGTTGTGGTGTTTGACTTTGATACTGATTGTTTCATCCCCTCAGGTATTTAACATTAAAATGGAAAAGTTTTCAGATGTGACTCATTGCAAGTGTTTTCCAGAATTTAGAGATTTATGGCAATATGGTTTTACATGTTGTCTTCTCAGAAGTGTGGATCACCATAGATTGTTTTATGGTTGTAATTGGTTCTGATTTTAGATTAAGAGCTATCAGATAATGTTTCACAATGTAGAAAATGTACTGTTGACTTCTACCCCTGCCATATTTTTTTTTATCTCAAACAAAATACCATTGTTTCTACTCAGAAATACTAACAAATGACTGAAAAAAATCCTACCTGTTTTGTTTTGAAATTATTTCAAATTTTCTAATCAGTGCAATGATGAATTAAAAATTTCTTCACTTTGACCTGAATTTTGTTGATGTGAAGCATTTTAAAAACCTGAGCATTGATCCGTATATCAAGAGCATTTGTTCAGTAGTTTGGTGGTTTTTGACATGCATACATTCATTGTATTTTAGCATCCCTACAAATTGGAAACATTTTGCCTGTTGGAGTCATGCCTGAAGGAACCATTGTATGTTGCCTTGAAGAGAAGGCAGGAGATCGTGGCAAATTGGCCCGTGCATCAGGAAATTATGCTACAGTTATCTCCCATAACCCTGACACCAAGAAAAGCCGTGTAAAGCTGCCATCTGGCTCAAAGAAGGTCATCCCATCAGCCAACAGAGCTATGGTTGGTAAGTATATAAGGTTATCCATCAGTCAACAGAGCTATGATTTGTACAGTTGGTTGCATTCCTAAGACTCATAATATAGCTATTCCAAATATGTAGGTATGATATTTCCCTATTTGTAGGGAGTGAGTAAAAAATGGTTTGAAAAAATACATTTCTGTAGAGCTAAAATAGATGTGAATAGGCTTTTCAATTCCAATGTGCCTGTGAAGGGATTACTATATTATTGTCTGCAGTGGGATAGTGAAATGCTATATGACCTGTCAAAGAAAGGAGACAACACTATTTACCTGATCCATGGTTCATGTACCTTGCTTTCTGTTGTAGGTATCGTTGCCGGTGGTGGAAGGATTGACAAGCCCATGTTGAAGGCTGGTCGTGCCTACTTTAAATACAAGGTCAAGAGGAACTGCTGGCCTAAAGTTCGTGGTGTGGCTATGAACGTAAGTGTTTTTCAAACTCCGAACAACTCCCTTCATCTCTCTTTCAATTCTTTTAAGACAACATTTTGGCAATGATGAATAGGCAGCATTGAGTTTATCTAAATTGAATTGTGTATCTTTACTAAAAATAATCAGGTCAAACCTGACTTTGGTTTCTTGGAAAATCAGTTTTATCTAACTATAGTGGTGTTGGCTATTCCATTACATACCATGTTTTTTATAGTTATAAACAGGTGCATATCTGGGGTACTTTACTTGTACAACAAAAATATTTGTGTTACAGCCAGTTGAACATCCTCACGGAGGTGGTAACCATCAGCATATTGGTAAAGCATCCACAGTTAGACGAGACACCTCAGCAGGTAGAAAGGTAAGTTTGTCCCTGGTTCTGCTAGCTCAATTTATGTGGCATAAAGCAGTATTAAGTAAACAGAGGCCAATTCTTTAAGGATTACAAAGGAAATTCAATGATTGATTTGATTCAAACTTTGATAATGTCTTTGGGATGTATGTGAATTTAGATTTTTTCCCTTATGACTTTCAAAATTATCATCCTGTTGACTTAGAATTAAGCGTGTTTTATATGTAGAGTTATGCCCCTTCTCACTGTATATATTTGTATTGTATAGCATTGTATGGAGATAAAATGTTGTTTTTTACATTTTCAGGTCGGTCTTATTGCTGCTCGTCGTACTGGTCGTCTACGAGGTACAAAGCAAGTCACCAAGCCAGGAGACAAAGATTAAAGTGCAAATTTGTGATAGTGTACATCGGTCTATAAATAAAACCCTTGATGGTAAAATTGATTTTTCTTGTTTTTGAAATTGAGTCTTGTCATTTCTGATCAGCGTAATTTGAATTCCACTGTGACAGATTAAATACATATCATTGATAGCTGAATTTAACCAGAGCCCAATCTTATGTTCTTGTATAATCAGAAGTGGCATGTTAACTGTAACACTGATAATATTGAATTTAACCTGAGCCCAATCTTATGTTCTTGTATAACCAGAAGTAGCATGTTTACTATAATATTGATGCAATTCCACTTGATATTTGGTCTTATTATGTCCCCCAAACGAAGTGGGGGGACATGCTGTTTTTGCTCCAATTCTTATTATTATTATGTCCCCCTAACGAAGTGAGGGGGGGACATATTGTGTTTGCTCCGTTTCTTATTATCATTATTTATATTATTTTTATTTCTTCCACTTTCTTCTGGCGGCGAGGTTTCCAACGCGTTTCTCAAAAACTATTGCATGGAATTTAACAAAACTTGAATTTTTCCTATCGGTCAGCTGTGGTCAAAATTTTGCCAAATTTTAGATATTGTCTGATTTTCGTGAAAATTGGTGTATATGTATTAGGTGGCACTATAGGAGCAACATGGTGTAGTCCGTTTTTCATTCGGCCATCGATCAGTCATCTGAGCGGTCAGCTGTGGTCTAAATTTGGCCAAATTTTAGATATTGTCTTATTTTCTTGAAAATTGGTATATATATATATATTAGGTGGCAATCGGAGCAAAAAGGCATAGCAAACTAAAAGCATCATCATTTCCTCTCATCTGATGTTTTAAAAATTTACGTTCTCATTTCCATTCAAAATTAGTGTGTTCATGTTTGGCATGACTGCAGGTCTGATTATTGTGATCATTTACTGCTGAAGGGGTCGTTTGGGGGACATTTGTAATGGTCCCCATTACTATTTTTACTTGTTAAAAGTTCTGTTTGTGGAAAGTTTTTGATAAATGATCAACCACTGATAGACAATCATACAATTTTTTTAATTAACTTGTAGCATTTGATTGCTCCTGTAATATAGAAGATTTCACAGGAAATGTATTGTTTTAATTGATAATGGTTAAATCAATTGACAGATTATCTTCATTAACTCTTTGTTTTAATACTTTCATGCTAATACCCTGATGATGCTGAAACCATTTAATGCTTACACTCTTTGCTATGCTTAATGCATTGTAAACAATTTTCAGTCATTTGTATTGAAAGGTGTGCAGAAAAGTTAACTGCGATCCTGAAAAGAAATCCAAAGAAAGAGCTTTCATCCAGAAAGTAAAAAATGAAATTATCATAACAAAAGATATTAAGCAGAATCCTATTTCCTATTTATCATAACCTTGACATTTGACCTCGAGACCAGGACAGCAATTCCAGACAATACTTAGTGAGGAAGCAATTTGAAAAGTCAGTCTTCTATATATTGTACAGAAACTTGTGTTTATGCTCCCCAAAAAATGTCCGTGTAACATGAAGTTGCCGCCTTGTCTCCATCCGTCCGACTTTGCCTCTGTTTTGGTGTCCAGATCTTAACTTTGCCAAGTTAATCAGGGATCACAAAACTCGCTGTATAAATTGATCATACTAAGACAATATGCAGTGTACCAATGTTAAAAGGATCTACAACCGTTAATTACAGAGATATTGTCCTTCCTTATAATTGTGTGTCATAAGCATCACTTTGCTTGCTTCAAACTTGGTGTATACGTTGGTCTTAATAAGAAAATGTGCAGTATACCAATTTTAGGATCTGCAGCCCCTTATTACAGAATTATTGCCCTTTGTTAAAGTTTTGTTTCCAATAAAGTAATCTTTTGTGGAGCATTTATCAGTTTCACGGATACACTTGTTTTGTCATAGTAACGATGCCCTTTGACCTTGAGACCCTGAAAAGCTCTCCCAGACAATACTTTATGTGAAGAAACGATTAGTGAAGCCTATCATTGGACTTCCACCACCAAGTACCCGGCAGTGCTTTCTGCAAAGTAGCAATATATGAAAGGAATCGGCTCAACAGAACTCGTCATTTCTTACGGAACCGATTCTCTTGCGTGTAACTGACCTCAGGGCTTGAAAAAGTTATCCTTAACAAGCACCTTTAAGCACCACAGAACTCGAGATATTGTACAGAATGACGCTTTCTATTTATAGTATCATTTACCTTGACCATTGACCTCCGGGCCAGAAAGCAAACAGTTAGCACGCGATTTGGAGACACACCAACTGAAGTTTGGATATTGTAGGAAAAAAAACAGTTTGCAATTTACAGGAAATGATATTTACTTTTTAAATTCAAACCTGAAAACAAATCCCAAACAAACACAATCAGCGAAAAAGTAATGAATGAATTTCGAAAAGGGCTCACCCGAAACCCGATATGTTATTGACACGTAAAGCCATTTGGAGCAAAGAATTTCCCAATAAATATATTTTATATTAACAAGGACCATGGAAGTAGCAAAATATATCTCTACAATGTGTAGAAACCGATTCGCTGTTTAAAACTAGTAGCGGTCTTTATTGTTGACACCGCTATAGATAATATCAAGAGTGATTTTGGCGCAATGGAACTGAAGTTTTTGTGTGAAAGTCAATTTTCTATTTATAGTAACAGTGACCTTTGACCTGAAACTAATATCTTAAGAGCACTGTCAGTGAAGGACCATATAGAACAAATGTGAGGACATCGATCCAACAGTTGTAGTTACAATGGCCGTAACCTTCGACTTATGGACATGAAAAGCATTCCCTGGCAATCATTTTCTTTGAGGAAGCAAACAGAATTAGTATGCGAATATTGAAATTTGACGGACGGGGCGATTACAATATTGAATGCCTCAGGTAGGATTTGAACACCAGACCTGAGTCTGACGCTCAGCCGATCGAGCCAATGAGAAGTTCTCTCTAACCATGCGTGTTTTGCGAGTACTACATATTCACCCTCCAGATTCCAGGATTTATAGCAATGCTTATGGCGCATGACTAACTATTATTTCCGTGTCCCTAAATGGACAATGTAACAGAGGTCTATTTATTTCAATGCGTTCAATATGATTTGAACTAGTCTGATCGAGGGTAAGACAAGTTCTTTCTAGCAGAGCGTTATTTTGCGGCTAATATTGACATAAGAATTTCTTTTTGATCGACGATGATTTTTGCTTACTACCAAAAATACGATATCCTAATAAACAGTGTAAGATTTACTTCTTCTGGCCACTTCAGCTAATAACATGCGATGGTTTCCATTTTTTAATCTTATTTTGAAGAAAAAAAATCATCTCATCTTTCTCATTGTTTTATCAAACATATTATTAACAGTTTCAAATAGTGAATTGTTTATGCTTTTTAGCTTTTAATTGGCTATATATATGTAATAACTGAGAATCTTAGGAAACATCTCCTGATCATCATATAATTTTAGATATGGATATAGAGGCATTTGTTTGCCTGCGTCCTTTATTTACCTATTATTTATTACTTCAACATGGTCACCGCAATGTTCTAAATTCAAGTACATGTAGTTTGCAGTTTATACAACAATATTGCATTATAATGAAAAAGTATCGCAGCTTTTGAATTGCTTCTTTAATTCTAAGAACAATGATATTTGACTTGTCAGATGTTGGGATCTAAGACTGACAGTAGTTGATGAAAATGACCTTGACCTCATTCAAGGTAGTCCAGTACACCTACAACTGACGCTAGGATTTGGAAACGACTTTTAAAGTTACTAAAGACGCCGAATTACTTCTCAGTTCCTGGTATAAGAAATACCTTGACAAGCAAAATTCAAAAAACTCTCGAGGTGGTTATGCTATCTGGCCCCACTTGTATAAAATATCTCAATTTCAGATTTCCTCAAGCCCAGATTTTCCTCGGCTAATATCTCCTTGAAAATATCTTGTATGAAAATTCCTCAAGGAATTTCAGGACATCCTAGCCAATGACTTCCTCCTGTTCTTTGAGAAAAATTTATACAAGCCGTTTTTAAGGAGATATCAGCTGAGGAAAATCTCGACTTGAGGAAATCTCAAGTTCAGATGTTTTATACAAGTGGGGCCTGACCACAATGTAGTAGTAGTATAAGTTTCCTACAGGCCAAGAATTGAAACTGAACATCTTCAAACGACATGTAAATAATAGGTATTGTGTTCCTGTTATTTGAGCTGTAAACTATGGTTCGACATTTCTTATTTGAGTGCATTTGTCTTATATAATACTGAGAGGTTGACTGGTTTAGATTGACGACAAAAGAAATGAGGCGATCTTGGCTAAATTTCTTAGTATTAAAGGGACAACCTAACCAAGCAAAGAATATGAAATTGGCCACATAATAAAATTATGCCATTCTCAATGAGAGTAGTTATATATATTGACAGCCGGGTCGGGAACCATAGCGGCACAGCCAGTTTGATTTCACCCCCCGCACGGAACTAAAGCGTAATCAAGAATTGTTTGTCAAAGAAAGTTTTGCACTAGGAAATGTACTTCTCGAAGTGCACGAGATGACCAACATCCTCACTTAGGCTTCTGTAGATCACCTACTTCATGTATACTTTCTTACCAGATTGTCAGAGCACCAAGAAAAAAATCCATAGTTCGCTAGTCTTTTTCCTTAAAATTCTACTCCTCCTAAAGGGCTTTACTTAAAGTCATTATAAACATCTATATCTTTAATTATTCAAGTTGTGCGTCCTTAATGGACATATGTGGGTATTAAAAGCTTTAATGTCTACTTCAGAATGGATTAAAGAAGATTTAACAGAGAACGGAGGATCGGTTTCTCAAACACGGCTCTTGAATACTATATAGAAGCAATATAACTTTGAAAAAACAATCCTATTTTTAAAATTTCAACACTAATTCCATTTTCAAATGCGAAAAAAAAATCCTAAAAATTAACTATGATGATTCTGCCTCAGATATGACAAAATCGTTTTGTGCACTTTCTTATTTTACACACTAAATATAAGATTTTATGACAGTACTGAAAACGCATTATTGGAGAGTTCTACGTTCATTGTGTAACAGCTACACCGAATACTCAATTTCACCGAAAACTCGTAACACTTCAGTTCGTCACGGTTGAATGATTCTGACGTGAGTGTTGGTGAATTTGAATGTCAATATTTTTACATATCATGCAGATGTCCATGTAATAACGTATTTCTATGACGAATGTCAAAATGAGGCCTTTAGAGCTCCGAATTCAATACCGACCACTTTCTCAAATGTCAAACGAGAGTTGATGAATATCTGTTAAAGCTGTTGACAGTGATCACCTCGCTCTAGATTTGATTTCTGAATCAGCCATGCACATTTAATCCTGTTAGAATTGTATCAATATAGGATTTACTCGGATTCAATGGAATGAATTCTCAGTCGGAATCCCGGTGGCATACCCGCAGATGTACATGAATTACAATCCCCATTCAATCCAGCCTTTTGTGAGGATTTTAAAGAAACATGGTTCGTATAAGATATTTTCAGAGAATACACAGATACTGCCGATGATTTAATTTTTGCATACACCGTATGTTGTATTCGTGTGTGGATTTAAACTAGACTTAATTCTCGGAATAAGCCATACTATTTATAGGTTGATACATGACAGAAGTGGTTTTATATCACAACCTCGCTGGACGTCCTATTTCTCGATCGATGCAGACGAAGATTCGGTGACGGGATAGTGTATCTAGGTGATCTACGCCACAAAAACTGATGCAACTCTCAAAGGAAACAAGACTATGGAACGTCAAAAAATAATTTCCCACCAATATTAAGTATAACTCGGGTGATGTAGAGAGTAGGTGCATAGGTAACAGGGATACTTTAGCATACCGCATTGAATTTGGCGATCCTCTGTATTACTTATGGTGTCCTGTATCGGGAATTTTTTTTTTAGATCAGTGTATATCGTAGACAATTCCAGTATTGTTGTTTTATCGAGAATTTTATCGAAAGAACGGTTTCCTCACAGTATCTCGAACTGAAAGAACGATAACTGAATAGTACTGTTATTCACGCGAAAAAAAATCAGTGCCGAAAAACATTGATCAGTGTTTGTTAAGAAATTTGGTGACAATACAAGAAATTTTCCCTGTAAAAACATAGATATTACGCAAATAACGTTAATATGAGCTAAAAGAAGTATCAGAAAAGACGATGGGTCGGTAATCTCAGGGTATAAAAGAAGACGCTTGAGTTTATGAATCGTCCAGTGATAGGTAATTCTGGGTGTCAAAGAACTAGTGCGTTGGTAATGTCAGTCTTAGTCAGGTGTCGGTCAACAGAAACTAGTGTGAGACAAAAAGTAAATAAACCAGAATATTATTCAAGTAATGTATAGATGAACCGAGTTTTTCCACAATCACTTGTCACACAAAATCATGTGTTTATCAACATGTCATTAACGACAGGTGTCGTTAAAAATGGTTCTTGCTGACTTGTGTCACACAAAATCACGTGTTTATCAGAATGCCATTAAAGTCAGGCGTCGGCGAAGTGTGGGCCGTGTTGACTTGTGTTACACAAAAATCATGTGTTTATCAGAATGTCATTAAAGACAGGTGTCGTTAAAAAGTGGTTCTTGCAGACTTGTGTCAAAATCATGTGTTTATCAGAATGTCATTAAAGACAGGTGTCGGTGAAGTGAGGGCCGTGCTGACTTATGTCACACAAAGTCATGTGTTTATTAGAATGTCATTAAAGACAGGTGTCGGTGAAGTGAGGGCCGTGCTGACTTATGTCACACAAGATCTCGTGTTTATCAGAATGTCATTAAAGACAGGTGTCGGTGAAGTGAGGGCCGTGCTGACTTATGTCACTCAAAGTCATGTGTTTATCAGAATGTCATTAAAGACAGGTGTCGGTGAAGTGAGGGCCTTGCTGACTTGTGTCACACAAAATCATGTGTTTATCAGAATGTCTTTAAAGACGGGTGTCGGTGAAGTGAAGATTTTTGCTAACGTTGTCACCTTAATCTACTGATAGAGTTGATATAATCTTTTCAACTACACACTGAGAATTTAGGACGTAAAGTTTGTGTATGATATAAAATCTCGTGTTCATTATATTTTTTATCTATTTAGCTGTATGTCTCTTTTTTGCTTGTGATTTTATTGAAATGAGTTTTGTCGCCATGTTAAAACGATAAAAGGATTGGACATGTCGTATATGCTTTAACATATAAAGCGTCCGTATTTTTCTCATTTCCCTGGTTTTAAATTAAAGTCACGATACACGAGCGAATTCTTCACACAGATAAACATTGGTCTCTCTATATATCTCTTATCCTCGATGTTAATATTGATCTCAATTGAATTTATTTAAATTTCAGAATTCAGTTATACACTGGAGTCATGCGTTCGTTCCATACACTTTCATTCTACTATGTAATCTTTTGATAGACAAATACCTAGAGAACCGCCCGATCTATGATTTTCCGTCACAATGCTTTAATCTCTTAACCGGACCGACATCATCGTATACAACAGAACTTCTCACAGACGCCATTGGACCTTTCTTGAGTGTGGACATGCACGCAATGTATGGAACATTCTTAAATCGAAACTGCACTGTATTTTAGTTGATAATCTACACGGTTTTGAATATTTCCATTTTATTTGGGAAAATGTGAGAAAACCAAAGCGTGCGTCATGAAAAAGTGAACGTTTCAGGTTAATATGAAGTATGGATTTGACTCTGGCAGTATTAGTAGTTTTACAGGTTCATGACTGATTGGAAATATTGATCAATTACAGAATTTAATGGAGAACTTAACCTCTTCTGTTGATCGTCTAGGTCAGTTAAGGGATTTAATTTTATTACCGTGAACATTTACTCTTTTTTCATACAGGATTATATCTGAGCCATAACTGATTTGAAATTTTGTCTGACGTTTGTATGTATAGCGCTGTCTATTCTCGTTTGTAATTCGCAGCTATTTTCAATGTAATGACAAATATTAAATACCGAAAGCAACAAAACCAGTTAAAGGTGAATTACAGTTCGAACAATATATAGCATGGACAAGGCAAAACATCACGAAAGATCGTCTCGACCGGTACCTTTAGCTCTCTGTGTACGGGTAGATATTGATCTTTAAAATGGCCGTGAACTAGAGAACGGAATCATAAAGGTATTCTAACGTGGTCATAAATACGGCGTGTTACCATCGGAGTTTCCCGATAGGCTGAGCTATATAAGCATTTACTGTATTTTGTTGTCGGGAATTTAAATTGTAATTCTCATGATATTTTTATACTCGAGCAGAGAACAGATAGAAAGGAGGTTGTCAATCAAAACCGACAGACTAGAAAGTGACATTGGACCGATGATCTTAGTGATGTCAACAACAATGAGACAATACATAAAATGATGACGTCATATTATCAGGATAGCAACCCACAGTAGAAAAAAAGAAGCTTGCTTGTGTTTACAAGCTAAAACATAGGATGTGATATCTATCGTTCTGAAATTGACAGCAAAGATGTCGCGAAATTCGTTTTTGTTGTCACTAACGAAAAAGAGCCCCTTCCCGGGAAATTTGTCAACAAACCGATGGAGCGACCTGTGTTCTCCACGGATAACGGAACTGGATGTAAAAATATTCCTTGAAAATAATCCTAGTGTGTTTCGTCGTTACGTAATGGAATCCGTCAGTGTAGAGACTTTGGATGAACTGATCAAACGAAAACGGAGAACAACATCATGTCGGGTGACAAAGCGTCACAAGGCGCTACTAGGGGACTACGAATTATTGTCTACGAAGGATGTGGCTTCAAAACTACTGGAGAGCGTCAATTCAAACAATTTGCTAAGTCGTATGGAGCAGTTGGGTAAGATTCTCACCCAGGCAATTCATGGAGATTCTCACTCGCTTTACATACCAAAACACAACGATACAGAACTTCATTTGTATCGAGGTGGGGTAACAATACCTTACGGACCCACCGGCAAAGGCAGCACGGTTGCTGCGCATGCGTTCGACACAAAGACCACACTGGTGATTTCTGATCTGTCACTAGAACTAGGAAGGTAAGTTTTAACAAAAACATACACAAGTAGAATATAGAGTTCATAACGACATTCTGTTACAGAACTGGACTTTTTCTTTGTAAGTTACTCCCCACAGGTATATGCAAGTCAAACTTCCTTGAATGAATGCATTGTGTCGTCGAATCTTGTTAACTGATCGCTTTCAGCCTCACGGGTAAATAAATTTCAGGTGTGACAAAGTTGCATTTCTTGTTACATAGAAAATTTCTTTAAGTAAAACATTGCATTTAGTTCTAAAGAAATGTGACATATATTCAAGTCCATGACCTTTAGTCAGAAATATGTTTACACTTGTTAAACAGATATATATATTATAACAGAAGAACAAGTACATGAAATATTCCTCCACCAGCATCGAACCCGCGACCACTGCTTACCAGCCTGTGGCTCTAAAATATGCGTCTTAAAATATCCTCTGTAGAAGACAACACTATCATCTCTGTGTTGTCACCGCTGATTAGCTTTAATTGGTTAATATGGACATATTGTGGATTACTTGATTGTGATTACGGGTTACAGGTAAAAGCTGCGATGAAATTTAAATGGTTACCAGTACTAACACAGTGCTTATCCGCAAGAGATTTAATTTTTTTTAACTACGGGGCTTGGTAAACAATGTTTGGGAGTTTGCAGTATGTGGTCTGAGTGATTTCTAGTGTACCGGTACTTGGACACTGTGCCATGGACTCTGTGAGTTGTAAGTCTTTATCCAGTTGACTTCAGATTTAGTATGATTTAACAACTTCATTCCTTGTCTCCAGTATTCTTACGTAGGGTGTCAATTTTTTTTCTGGTCTGTACTCTTATGTTGCTATATACTCCTTTTAAGTCAATCTGATCATTATTCAGGACTGGATATCAAACTGGAGTTTCATATGTTACATGTGGCTTTTGAAAACTTTTGTAGAGAGTCAGATTTACGAAAAATAAGTTCCAGTATCTTGTCGAACTCTTGTTCATATAGTTGCTGGTATGTAGACTAAATTTGAGTTTTGTTACCGAACGGTATCCCTAGATCTTTATCTCCCGTGACGGCTTTGACACCTTGGTTTCACTTTCAGTTTGTAGAATATATATTGTTTGTACGGGAATGTTACTAATTGTCAGATGTTTACACCTATTGGAGTTCAGTGATATTTTCCATTCACGTTTTTATCAGTTCAACCACATTATCCACTAGGTTTCGAGCTAGCGGACCCTTCGGTCTCTAGCCGCACACTATACCACTCAACAAACTTGCTCACATGAGGAAGACTGTCAAGAGAGTCACCGAAACTGAAAACAGAGAAACAAAACAGACAGGAAAGAAAGAAAAAAATCGGATCAAGTTTTTTAATTGTGGCAGCAAATGCTCTCCTTAGTAGAAGGCACGTAACAAAGTCCCTAATTCTGCAGAGGGCGTACGTTTAATTGTCGTCTACGACCTTGACCTGATCATACAGCAGACCGTATTCTTGGGCTGTATGATGTCCCGTTAACTATAAACATAGGAAAGACCGACCCCGAAATACAGAGTGTCCCCAAATTAGTCACACACACAGTTAGATTCACTCGGGGCATTCTTTCCTCGTCTCCTGGTTGTACTTGGAATGGTCAACATTACGAAATGTAACAGGAACAGTGTCTAATAGTGCCGTCCCCTTATATACCAGTCTACCGCTCGGATAAAGGGAAATTCCCTCCAGCGCGAAGCTTGATTTAAACCTATCACAATATTACACTTTCATTAGATAACGAAAGTATCACGCAATCACTTAAACGATTAAAGATTGTTGACCCGAAACATACTGTCTGGTGACACGGGGTTAAAAAGTATAATCGAGAATACGATACTGGGAAAAATTAACCTATTAAATTTTGAGAGTTTCACACGATCAGACAACTTTTGGGATTTTTTTTAAATGGTCCATGAGTACTTCAATCATTAGGTTTTGAAAAAAAAATGTATTTGTACTTTATTTGAACCGTAAACGTATTTTTACCCTTGTGTTTTGCCAAAGTGGGTAATTTCTCGCCAAGTATTCGACAAAATTTTCAAAACTATTTTTCATAAAACTTGTTGAACTACTTAATACATCGCTATGGTCCGGACTTTGTCGTCTCAGCGTTTGACCCATGGCTCGGCCACCCCAGATAAGGGCACACTTAAGAATAGTATGTTATAGAGATTAGATATTTGTTTTTACAACAGCTGTCCAGGCATTTCTATGAATCACATTAATTCTGAATAATAGCGGTGAAATTTCACTTATCTAAGTGACTGCACGGTTTGTTTGGCTGCTTCGAAGCATATGAATTAAAAACATATTTTATTGTCAAAATGAATAAATAGATAAATAAATAAGTAAATAAATAGATAAATAAATAAGAAACAAGTTCTTACAACCTATGTATATAATTTTAATCAATATTTAAGTTAGATATATTACTTTGGAATCGCTTTATTTTCTATTCTGAAAATGAAACGCATTTTTAAAAAAAAACTGATAACAAACAGACTTAGTAACATTTCACCTTATCACAGACAGATAGAACATCAAAAGACACCGTACATATATATTTTACATTATGTTGTATATTCTCCGCATGATGCTTACTCACCTAAATGTTTGTATTTATCGTTATTTACGCCTGGCGATCTGGCTTTCATAAGAGTATACGGTCCTGCTTTGCTATCGTTTCTTGTGAAAAACAGACCGAAGGTCAATGCAGCACATAAAAGATCATAAGCATAGGTTTTGTTAAAACTTGTATACGATGTGGATTGTTTTCTCTCACAGATGCTTTTATTCTCTAAATGACGACATTTAAACGAAAGTACTATTCAACAACTGCACTGCGATTTACAGCATTTATGATAAATCTGATATCATTTTCATGATAAGAGGTCTTGATTTTATCAACTCTATTTCTCTAGATGATGTGAATTACCACTATTACCTGATTGTTTTACATAAACAGTGGGATGTTGTGGTCGAGGTTTTGAAGACATCTACATCTAACCGTACATCGATAACTACAACGACACTTTTGATGAAACTTTCAGATATGTTCTTATATTTTCTATGTTTTTTTACTTGGATAAAATAATTGTTGGTATGGCGATTCATGTTGGTTACTCTGGTCACATGGATTATTTTAGATACTGTCATAACAATCAGGACACGCACCTACACAAATGGCATTCCCTTAACTTGATGTTTATCAGGATTTGAATAATTTCTGGCAAACGGCTTAATGACATTCTTTCCTTTTTCTTCATTTGTAATATTTTGCAGATGAAAGAATTACTCTGGTGATTAAGTTTGTATTTTTTCATGATGTGAAAATTAATTCCCATAGTTGATATAAATGATAATAATAATAAAAAAATACAGACACACGGACACCAACACACACACGCACCCTCACACACATACACACGAAACAAGGATTTGCAAGAAACGTGTCACACACTGAATTAAAAAATCCAATCTTAAAAAAATATTGTTAAGCATATGAGCATATTCATTGTGGGCCAAATTTGAGCAAGTCAATATTTAAAGCTTCATGGGATATCCAAGGTAGCATCAGACATCAATTTCGAATTATGACAATTGAAGTTTGATTTCTGTTATATCTTAAGAACTCCTTAGTGATATTGCTGAGATTCTACAAACGGTTCCTAGCTATGCAGGACGCATTTTTATGTCCCATCTGCCATTCAAGATGGCCTCCAACAGTCATTTTAGATTTTGCTGTTTACAGATTGACACCGTTATGTTTTGAAGAACTATTGAATGGATTTTGAAACTTTATGAACATGTATTACACATCTCTGTCATTAGGTTTTGCCCTTCGTTGTAATTTGAGACAACAATATTTTTGTTTGTTTGTTTGGTTTTTCGCAAGGCGGGGTTTCCTTTTAGTGGCTGGCGGCTATCTCAATGAACAACATGCGCGAGGACCGTCGCATGCAGTCAAGAGAAACTAGGGCGAAGTGGTTTGTCCAGGGACACAACTACGTCAGCACAGTCCAGTCTGTGTCAAACAGAATCTGTTGGGAATATGGAACATCGAATCACATTTTATACATGTGACTTATACGAACCGCTTCGTTGAGAGATTGTCCCTGTATAGGTAGTAATTGTAGACTGAAGACCATCTCCGACTGTGACAAGTAGTTAACACGTTCCATTACCGTGTTACCAGCGGAGGTTTTGTTATCTCGTGTTGAAAATATAATGTTACAAGCAAGCAGTAATCTTAATATATTACTTGAAACGAATAGCTAATGGTTTGATATGAACATAAACGTCTACCAATTTATATTACTTTATTCCAAACTTTCCCGTAGTTTGATAAAATCACTTAACACTCAGACTTACTCAACACATTAAAACCAGGATTTGAATTTATATAATATTATTACTATTTTGAATCCCGGCTGTGGTATTATGAGTATGATATGAGTTTTGATGTCTGTCAAATATGTATGTAAGGTTACTTTCTGGTGCTGATTTTTATACTTTAAACATTTCCTACTATTCAATAGTATACATTAATAATATTTAAAACCTAATCCTAGGTGAGATATGGGGATATCTGGCCTTAACGTATCACGTATGAATGAAAAGAAAATACGAAGAAGAGATTATGTACAACTGACATATGATTGGCGCTTGAGTGAATCTTTTAACCTGCCTACCAAGTTCTCGAGATCTTATTCTCCGTTTGTTTTTATGTTGTTATCATATGCAGTAACAAAAAAGGGAAAAACTGTAAAATTCAATGTAAAAAATTATATGTTTCCTCGCACAAACCCCGGCATGTAAGACAATTAGCCTCAATAACCAGTTGATAGTTTTTCTGATGTTATCTTCCCAGTATAAATAATTTGATGAACTGACCTTTATGTACTTACTGATGAGATCACGTGATGATTGATTATTGGTTCCGCTAGGGTTGTTCTCCATAGTGGCACGGGTACATATTTTGGTGGAGAGCATTTATATTATAAGACTGGCCTGCTGTTGTGCTGCAAACTTAAACTTAACAGGTTTTTGATCATCGGTCTTTAATCCTCCACTGCATATGATACTTACTTTATTGTCTGCTAGTCTTATATTCAACAAATGCGCACAACTCATTAGAATAGAAATTGAAATAACCAATGATATACATTTTTTTTATATATTTTCATTAATTTGCATTCATGAAACATCTATAAACATGTAGTTTTATAAAATATAAGACAGGATTTCTTCGCAGGTGGTTGCCGCTCTCTCAGTTATCAAATAACTCATTTTTTTCACAGATTCGCTGAGTTTGAATAAAAGAACAAATGTTACTAAATTCCGAAAGAAAAAAAAACAAAAAAAAAAACAAAAACATCATGTCCTCATTTCTTTATTTTGGTCAATTTTGTTTTCAGGTTTCCGAAGGGAACAGGTCCCGGAGAGGCCATTGACGTTAGCGTACTGTGTGTGCCGCTAGTTCTTCCATCCGATGACATCATTGGTGTAATAGAAGTCGTGCGCAACATCAAAAAGCATCCATTTTCTAGATCAGATATTCAAATGGCACACGCGCTCTTGAGTTGGATGGTCGCTTGTATCAACGAGAACAACATGAAGCGAGTTTTGAACTCTCAACAGCATCTAAATGACTTCTTGCTGGAAACCACGCGCATCATCTTCGATGAAATGACTAGTACTGACCTTCTGGTCCAGAAGATTATGATGTTCACTAAGAATTTGGTCAGTGCTGACCGATGTTCTATGTTTTTAGTGGATGAAGAAACCAACGAATTGTACGCCGATTATTTTGATGAAGGAAAGAAGACGGAAGATGGCCAGTCTATCATTTCAAAGAAATCTCAAATCCGTTTCCATAGAGACAAAGGGATAGCTGGTTTTGTTGCAAGAAGTGGACAGGTAATGTCATAATTCTTCTAACACTGTAACATTTAAATTACTCCCCCACAACCACAAACATCTATTCCATATAAATTATTTCCATGTAGACAGAGAATGAATCGACGAGTTTATAATAATTAGTAACAATGATCTGTCTATACCAATATGTCTCTGAAATTCTAAGTGAAATCTAACACCATTTGTCTGTGTATTTTTTCAGGTAGTGAATATACTGGATGCCTACTTAGATTCTCGTTTTAATCCGGAAGTAGATAAACTAACCGGATATAAAACAAGAAACATCCTGTGCATGCCCATTGTGAGCAAGGACCAGGTAGTGGGCGTGGTCCAATTGATCAACAGTTTGCGGGGAGAGCATTTCACCAACGCGGACGAAAGCGCCTTCAGGATGTTCTCAGTGTACTGTGCCATGGCGCTCCACTACAGCCGTTTGTACAATATGCTTGTTCGCCAACAGAATCAGTACAAGGTAGCTTTGGAGGTCATCCAATACCACATCGTGTGTAAAGAGGAAGAGATGAAAGAGCTATTGGCAGACCCTCGCATCCAGGAAGACGATATTCCCAATGATTTCTTCACGTTCGATTTCTGCGCATACAACTTTGCGTCTCTCTTGCCCCAGCTGTTCATCCACATGGTGATAGACATGTTCGGAGAAGACACGTTTGAGATGGAGCAGCTATGTCGATTTACAATCACAGTACGTAAGAATTACAGAGATATTGCCTATCACAACTGGGATCACGGGTTCCATGTGGCGCACTCACTTTGGTGCATGATGCGAGCAAGTCCGGGAATCTTTACCCCGTTTGAACAGATGGCGATCCTCATCAGCGGTATATGCCACGATGTAGATCATCGTGGGTATAATAACGCTTTTTTCTCCAAGATGAATCTGCCCCTGGCCTCCCTTTACTCAACGTCTGTGATGGAACAACACCACTATAAACACACAGTAACCATACTTCAGATGAATGGTAAGGGTATCTTCTCCTTCCTCACGGCCAACGAGTACAAAGATATGCTTGGTATTGTACAGCACTGTATACTAGCGACAGATCTAGCGCTTTATTTCACAAACCAGAAGACAATATCCAAACAACTATCAGAAGGGGCCTTCGATCTGGAAGACCATGCCAGCAAAATGAAAACGATCGCCCTGATGATGACAGGCGCTGATCTTTGTGCCATTTCAAAGCCGTGGGACACACAGGGGATAACAGTCGACTTTCTGTACGAGGAATTTTACGACCAGGGTGATCTAGAGAAGAGCCACGGTATAGAACCGCTGCCCATGATGGATCGTGAGCGGATAAAGGAACGCCCTCAGCAGCAGGTCGGTTTTATAGACTTCATATGTCATCCTCTCTATAAAACACTTCACCAAATCCTGCCTGGCTCCGAACCACTCCTGGACGGGTGTTCAAGGAGCAGAGAAGGATGGTCTCAGGTCCTGGCGGAATATGCAGAGGAAGAGAGAAAGAACAAAGAAGAGGAAAGTGGGAAAGAACAAAGTGATGAGCTATCAGAGAGTGATACAGCGACGGCAGAAGAAAGCTGAGAGTTTTGTTACATTTACGATATCGTAGTTTTTTCCCTCCAACCCATTGTGATATTATATATAGGCTTTGTGCCTGACAGGGTAGTCATGATATTCTCAATATGATATTATAGTGTCAATATGATAATCAAGTAAATAGATATTATGAACCCGGTTAAGTAGAATATTCGTTATAGGTTTTTATAGCTTTATTTTTGTTTCTTAGAATTTTTCATTGTTAACTTCTACGAATTTGAACTATACATATTACATACGGAAGACTCAAACTTTATAACTGGTACAGCCAACATTTACGAAATTTACTATCCTCGCGTAAGATTAATTCGAAATCTTTTGTCAACGCAGATAATTCAAACTTGTAACTCGAATCCTTTATCAACACAGATAATTCGAACTTGTTTAACTCGAATCCTTTATCAACACAGATAATTCAAACTTGTTTAACTCGAATCCTTTGTCAACACAGATAATTCAAACTTGTTTAACTCGAATCCTTTATCAACACAGATAATTCAAACTTGTTTAACTCGAATTTTTTGTCAACACAGATAATTCAAACTTGTTTAACTCGAACCTTTTGTCAACACAGTTAATTCAAACTTGTTTAACTCGAATCTTTTGTCAACACAGATAATTAAAACTTTACCGGTTTTTACTGGTCTGATGGACTTAGCGGGTTCCGTATTCGTGCATGAACATTGTTTAAAACTTTATCTATTGTTACTGTTTAAGGAATGTATATATTTCCTAGTGTTTATAGATTTATTAATTATGTAAGTAAGTACAGTGTTGTAAAAAATCGTTACTCGTTATTATCACATATGTAACTATGTATTTTACGATGTTTTCAAATGCAATGAATTATTAAACTATGCAATTCACTTAATTTAAATAAAGAGATTATAATCAGGCGGTTACGACGAACTAAAGTATATCGATAGCCATTAGATATTCTTTACATAATATTCTTAAAGATTCTTATCGAGATGTTTTTGTGAATATATGTCTTCCGTTTAGTCAAATTCTAATCGTTTTTTAAACATGTAGCTCGTTACAGTGTCTATACTGTTCAGTCAGTGTTTAAATCTGTGCGGCATATCATCAACGTGTGCTATTGGTCTTTAAACAAGGCCCAACTGTTAAACTTGGACTGGGGAGGGCAGTTTTCGAGTCCTATATAGATGATGTTGGTGATGTTCAACTTTATATTTCAGAAATAAAGAAATTCTAGATTAAAGTGAGACCTTGTTAGATTGGATTTTTTGTGTTTTTTTATATCTGTATCTCATACATCCGTAGTAACTACAATGTATGTGTTATATACTTTTGATTCCATAACTACTCAAATGTACACAGCTCCTTACATTTCGTCTCGTTGGAAGGAAACAAATAATTTCTTTGTGTGACTTTGAGATGTTTCCGAAGGGATTTACCTCGCCATGACTTCACCAATCAGGTATTGAATAAAATCCATAAAACAGAAGAAAACTACCATATCTAAAGAAGCACAAAGAACCCTAAAGTGCTAAATGTTCCGAAAGGAAATCGTCTTCGGATTCCTCGATGTTGCTATAGACCCACGAAACTCCGCAGTCTCGTTTGAGTCGGACTCCGACGATGCGAGATTACATACCTTCTCAACATAAAACAGATATAAGTCACAGAACCATGAAGCACTACAACTTGTATCAGACACGTCGGAATTATTATTATCTAGTGAGACAACGAATCATAGTTTCAAAAGTATTCTACCTTACATAACTCCTTGTAAATCCTCGATACTCCAGGTGTTACGATCACTTTCGCTCTCTGCACCCCTGGAACCATCCTCGATACTCCAGGGGTTACGATCACTTTCGCTCTCTGCACCCCTGGAACCATCCTCGACACTCCAGGGGTTACGATCACTTTCGCACTCTGCATCCTTGGAACCATCCTCGATACTCCATGGGTTACAATCACTTTCACTCTCTGTGCCCCTGGAACCATCCTCGATACTCCAGAGGTTACGATCACTTTCGCTCTCTGCACCCCTGGAACCATCCTCGATACTCCAGGGGTTACGATCACTTTCGCTCTCTGCACCCCTGGAACCATCCTCGATACTCCAGGGGTTACGATCACTTTCGCTCTCCACAACCCTTAGAACCATCCTCGATACTCCAGGGGTTACGATCACTTTCGCTCTCTGCACCCCTGGAACCATCCTCGATACTCCAGGGGTTACGATCACTTTCGCTCTCTGCACCCCTGGAACCATCCTCGATACTCCAGGCGTTACGATCACTTCCGCTCTCTGCACCCTTGAGACATGTCATGTAAAAACTGAAGGCTCCAGCGAAGTAATTTGATTGCTTCCAGGGGAAAAACTGACCAACCATAGGCTGATACACTCGTTTAAAAGATTACAAAGGAGCGACACTCCACTTCAAAGCCATTACAATATACCGTTGCTCCTTGTGTTGTACTTAAATTTAAAGACTGGAATGTTGGATTGTGAAACAAAACCATCTAATGATATTTTTCTTCTCGTCATTCATTCCTGCCCAGCATGTGACTGTCAATTTTATATTTACTGAAATTGTTTGTTAATGAGATGAATTAGTTTCTCAATGACTGGACTGAACGGTGTTTTCCTCTTATTCTGGATGATTTATAGAGTCATCAACATTTACATCTAGGTCCTCGTAGTTGTCGTACAGCCCACACGATTCACCCCCATCTCGGAAAAAAGGGAATGGCGGCTTTTTATAACCACCGTGATGTTAATATGGTCATTGGTTCCGTATATCGCCACAAGAATATCACATTCACATTTCATTCATATGGGATTGATATAACTTGAAGTTTTCATGTTACAACACACGTGATTACAGGTGAAACCGTTTCATTAGGCATGAATGAACTTCCGCCGTTTTACTGGAAATATAATCATGAAAACTGGAACCACACGTCTTTGGTAATTTGGTAAACCGAAAACAACACAAAACACGAAAAAAACCTCCCAAACACGAAAAAAAACCCAAAGAACAAACAAACAAATATAGGTAGGAGCTGTATGTTCCCTTATTATACAAATGTTTAGGTTTATAGACATGACGTCATAAATTTGAAAAAGAAATCCACTATTTTATTCCTAAGACAAGGGGACCTCACACCGAGGTGTGGATACATCTATCCAGGTAAAAGACGACTGTTCACATGCTCTTAGATTTGATGTCATAAATAACAGAAAGGCCGCTAGAATTGCACGAAGGGCACACGAATAGTAACTGCAGTTCCCATGGCATATTTCGATAGAAGCGTCTAAATCTAAGATATGATCTTTTCTCTTCTGTCTGAGAAATTATTTTCTTTCTAATATCTTAGTTGACATTGCCGTACTTTTGGCCTTTACTTTGACATACGCCCTTGTAAGGAAAGACTTCGGATTCTGTTCCCTAGCCTACTTAACAATCCGCATTACAGTCGTGAAACGGATAGTTTAGTTTAGTTGTTAGTGCAACGTGACCGTATAAGATATCTTATTTGGAACATTTGACTGTATAATTCAGTGTGATAGCTCTATAAATTCGACATCAGTTCCATATCATCACAAAGAGGCTTCCACGAGCACGTCGCAGACATAAGCATTCAACACAAACACCGAGCATGCTTACAGGTGGATGTGGTGGCGCAGTGGTAACGCCTTTCACCTAGCCGTCCGGGGTTCGACTCCTGGAAAGGACGTGAAGAGGTAAGGGCCACCTGTCCGACCTTGTGAGTTTTCCCTAGGTACTCCGGTTTCCTCTCAAAATAAGACCTTTCGCGCGTTTACATCCGGGCCAACAAGAGTGATTAGTATAAGTTGAAATAACTTGTTTCGCGATTGTTGTAAAATTAATAAAGTTTATAGTTTAGTTTTTTTACAGGTGGATGTTGACATTAAATGACAAATGGCCTCAGCTGTTGCTTGGACCGTAACTAAAAAACAAACGGGATGATCTCTTAGTGTTTTATATATAGCGTTACCATGTAACCATAAACTGTTCAATACACATTTTCACGAACCATTGGTGACGGCGAGATGCGTTCAGTTCACGACAACTTTTGCAATACAAAGTGGGAGGGAAACTGGTCAAACATGGTTCTGTTCTTTGTACAAGGATAGCTCAACACTTATGTTAAAGTTTGGCTGACCAATCGGCAAGCCTCGTATTGACCGGCCAAACATTTACGGGCGGTTGATATATCACTGTCCATCGAACATACCCTTGTACATGTAATATTTCGTTAGTTCCGTAAATTGCGAAACAATCTGGACACAACTTCCTCATTTTCCGAAAGATTTGTGGTCACAAGTACTCAAGCTTCGACTGAAAATTCCAACTTTAAAGAACGGAAGCGTATTGCTGCCAAAGCCATACGCGTGAATAGGTACAAATTCCGTTCCATGAGATGGTTTCTGTTGTCAACTCAAAGGAAGTTTACTAACTCTTTCACATTGTGGAGATAAAACACAATTATTACCGAGTGATATTATTACATGAGTAGTAGTGACAAATTCACAATTCCAAAATTGTTTTATTACTCTAGTTAAAATTTACCGAAGTCAGACATATTTCGTAGCGTTACCATAAGCTACTTATTGCTCTCGGCTTCCGACTGGTCATGGGAAGACCTTTTCACATTAAAGACGTTTATCCACAATTCTTCTTCGTGATCGTTATCATCGTCATTTTCCTCTTCGCTACCTGGTGCCATGAGCTGATTCATTTTGGAATCATCTTTATATCCCGCTATCTTCATCCATTTCCGTCGGTTTCTAAGACAGCCAGAAAGGAGATTTTTGGTGCCCGGAAATATACTCACCAATGTTTGGTAGAGAGGAATGCACAGAAAATCAATAAATCCGACCTGTTGTTTTGGAATGTCGTCTGAATGTGACCTATCCATCATTGATATAGGAACGAAACCTCTCTTCCTCTCTTCATCGCCTTGATCATAAAACTCCTCGTACAACTGATTTGTCGACGACTTGTTAGTTTTCCAGGGTTTCGAAACACCGCATAAGTCGCTTGCGGTCATCATCAAATTGAAGGCACGATTTCGGCATTCTTCATCATTCATGTCAAACCGGCCTTCATCCAGGATTTTTTGCAAGGCCTTCTGGTTCCCGAAGTAAAGCGCGAGGTCCGTTGCTATGATACACTGCCGAATTAGACCAAGCATCTCTTTGTACTTGGGAGCCGACAGGAAAGAGAAGATGTTCTCTGTCTGTAGGATGGTTACTGTCTGGCGGTAATGGTGCTGCTCCATTACAGACGTAGAGTACAAATTCGCCAGTGGCAGCTGCAGCTTCTTAAAGAATTCATTGCTGTAGCCGCGATGATCAATGTCGTGACAGATTCCGGCGACAGCTAGGCCCATCTTTTCAAACTCTGTGAAAGCGTCTGGCGCGGACGACACTATCCTGCACAGACAATGCGCTACATGAAATCCGTGAGGAAAGTTATGATAAGGCACATCCCGGTAATTCTTTCTTACTGTCAAGATGAATCTCACCAGTTTTTCTGTTTCGATCCTTTCTTTTCCACAAATCTCATGCATCAGACGTATAAATAACTTGGGGAGTAAATCCAAGTATCTTGGCGCGTAGAAATCAAAGGTATAGAAAGACTTGGGTATGTCGTGTTTGCTGATGTGCGGATCGTTAAGCACGCCCATGTAGGAGGATTTGTGACATACCGTATGATACTGTATAACTTCGATACAAGCCTTGTTCTTCACCCTCTCTCGCTCTAGAGAGTTGTAGAAGTTATTGTAGTGTATAGCTATGGCACAATATGCCGTGAACATGCGCAGTGCATTCTCATCAGATTCCGTGAAATGGTCATATCGCGTGCTGTTCACCATCTGTATAACACCCTTGACGCAGTTCCGGTTGATGATGGGCATGCATAATATATTTCTTGTTTTATATCCGGTCAATAGGTCCACTTCCTTGTTAAACCGGGAGTCCTCATATGCATCATGTATGTTAACCACCTACAACAATCAATTTAACACGCATCTATCGTTATTTAGTTTCGAAATTTCTTATCTCGAGTGAGAAATATGCATTTCCGATATTTCGTATCATGGTTTTCACTTTGGTGTCTTTTGTTAAAGTTTTTAGGTATCCCGATACATATCAAAATCTAGACTTACAAAGTTCTCTCTTTTTTTGTCCTCATTTTCAATCTTTTTTCGCGGAAAAAATAAGAAATTTCCAGAAGAGATATCGTAATCATAATTAACAGTTCAATGTGTTTGATTTCGTCCCCTGTAAAAGATTTGTGGCTGAGATATATACACAAAAATGTATAATTAGTATAAATAAGTAAATACCTTTTTATCTTAAGAAATAGAGTATTATTTGGATACGCAAGACTACACCCATTGCATATCAGTTTTTTTTTTCATTTTCTTTTATTAAAACCATTAAATTCGTGATTTGCAAAAATCGAACTTACTTCTGCTGTGTCGGCCACGTGACCTGCAATACCAACACCTTTCGGAAAGCGAATAATCTCCTTTTTCTCAAATATCGGAATCCCAACAGTGGACTTAGCTCCTTCATCAAAATAATTTGCATACAGCTCCTCCCTCTCGTCGTCCACCATGAACAGAGAACATCGGTCAGCCTTTACCAAGTCCTTTGTGTGTCGCATTATCTTTGGAACAAGTTCTTCTGTTTTCGTCATGCCATCAAGAAGTTCCTTCGTGTTGTCCAACAGGATATGGATCAGATGTTGCTGTGATATAAGCGACATTTTCCCAATATTTTCACTGATGCAAGCGGCAATCCATCCAACAGTGGTATTTGCTACCTGTATATCCGCCTCGATGAATGGGGGGTTAATGGGCTCTCTTCTCAACTCTATTATTGCGGGGACCACTTTTGTCGGTAACACTAACGGAACACACAGGACACTGTAGTTATCGCTATATTCTTCGCCACCTTCGGTACTATGCTTGAATCTAAAAGAAGAAAAAAAAATACATTTTTTTCAATATAGTTTGATATCACAGAGTTACTTCCCTTTGGCTTTATTTTATCAATAGTTCTGTAACCTTTTGTCATATTTTCTGAACCGAACCTCGGTGTCGAGAAATAAAAATAGTCTTGCTGTAAAAATTGGAATCTGGAATCGCATCGGATTCGACTAATCAGAGCTCACTTTGTATACAATGTTGGGTACGAGAGATGGTTTTGAGTGAAAAGCTTGAAAGCTGGTGGAGACCGAAAATGATGTCTTGTCTTATTAATGTTTTACCCATGTTTCATCAATATAGAGTTACGATTTTGAAAACATGTTGGAATTTTCTTGATGTTTTTTGTTATTTGGTTTTTTTTTTTTTGTTTGTTTTTGTTTTGCTATTTTATCATTAATGTGGGGTGAGAGTTGATGCCATATAATAAAGTAATGATCATCACGTGGAATCATGCTTATAATCACTATTGTCCTTTTCTTAAAATGAAAGAAAACAAACACGTTAATGCGTTAAATTGAATTTTCCTGTGTCCCGTTGACATTCATTAGCCAAAGAATTCAAAATAAAAGCAACTCAATGCTTAAATAAGTTGTACACGCATTCGTTCTCATTCCAAGTTCTTCGCGAGAACCAAAAGTGAGACCTCGGTTTTGGTACGTTATGTATCAGGAAATTTCATCGCCAATTCATGTTATTTTTATAAGAAGTATTTTAGGGTAATTTGTTTCTCCATTTACAAAACTATGATATGAGCTTGTCCCTGTTCATCATCGGCACGTGGAATAAGCACGTGTACTGAGGATAGGAATTAGCTTCTACACAAATGTCGTATTTATTAAAAGCTGGTGATTGTATTAATACGAATTAATTACTGATAGAAAAATGCGAAATTATACACAACTCCGAATTTAAACACATTTTAAGTATATTTTGTGTGTCGTTCGGTGACTTACCTCTGATCCGTGGACATATCTGTGACAAGCACTGTCGTTTTCTTTTTCAGGGCTTTACCAGCCACCGTTCCTTTCATCACATAAGGCTTTAGGTGTCCGTTTTCTAACAGGCAATACACTTTATTGACCAGTCCTTCCTGGATGTACAGTTTGTAGGAGTCTGCGTGAACTATCTGACAGAAAATATGACAAAAATCCTCTAAAATACCATGATGTGATTCATCCCTTTTCATTGCTGTGATCAAACTCTGACTGACGTGGCGTGTCGATTTCTGGAGGAATAAACCAGAGGTCTTCTGATGTTCAGTGTCACAATTTGCCCTTCGCAGTTTATCTTCGTCTTCAATGACACCTTTCTTCTGACGTAACAAGTCCTCTAAAGTGTCAAGTTTAACTGTATCGTACATAAAATCCAGCAATACCTGAGGATGAACAGTTAAAAATTCATCTACATCTTTCTCTTTCAGGATCCTGTGGGCGTTGCCCCATTCTTTATTGGGAAAGTGTGCCGGAAGGATTCCTGCCCTAGGATCGGCAGAAAACACTGGAACTCGATTTACATTGAAAGATGGTAGCTGACTCCTGTCGTCGCCCACCGCCTCAGCGATACTGTTAATTGTCGAACTTTTGGCGGCATTTACAGACGACCGTTTGGACGCTTGATTTACGGATGATCTTTTGGACGCCTGATTAACAGACGACCGTTTGGACGTTTGGTTGACAGACGAGCGTCTTTTGGCTTGGTTAGACGATGAACGCTTGGAAACTTTACCTTCTGAACGTTTGCTGGAATCCGTCGCCGGATTGGCGGACGCTGGTGACTTCTTCATCCTACAGACGTTGCCATGTGTGAATATCACACCGATGTCAGGCAAACATTGCAGATTACGTCACAATTCTGTTGACGTCATAGAAGCAATATAAGAATATCGCTATTATGGTGACGTCATAATCAGTAATCACGGGGCGCTGAGTTAATTTCAACGAATGTTACAACTTCTCGTTTATAGATTGAAGCAATTAATTTCTCAACTTTATCTGATTATCAGCTATTTTATCTATGCTTGCTAAATCATCGAAAGTGAGAATTTTAGATCATATTACCATGTCATATATTGTAACTAGTTGGAATGAGTCTTGTGAGATTATTGAAGGCATTTGACAAGGATGGCTGTATTTACTGTATGTATTGATATGAGGTAAAACATACGAAATCCCTTTGATTAATAAGTAGGAATATCCACAGAAAAAAATGTGTGTCCCTGGAAAAATGACATCTACCTAAATCGGGAATAAATACAAAGCTGTAAGTTTAATTGGTTCCTATAACGTTGATATAAACACACATTGTAAAGGCTACTGGACAAAGTCCCAATCGTAATGTATAATTCGCTTTCTTGTGTTCGTAATCGTCCCAGATTATCAAAAATTGATCAACGGTAATTCTTTTTGTTTTCCAAATGATACTGTCAATGTAGTTATGAAGAAATAAACTTTGTAGTGTGAACAAAAAACAACGTTAACAAGACAATGTTTTATTAGACTAAAATAGTTCAATTAAATTGTCAATGTTCCAGCTTCATTATTCCGCCCAGTCACACCTTAGTGTGGAATACACATGTTCAACATACAGCAAACATGACTTGTTACAATTATATATACATATATACTGTGTTTTCATGTACACTGTATAATCCGATATTACCGTCAGGATAGCAAAGTTGCACCACAGACATACCTAGAGGGTTCGGGATGTTACCCGACTAGTTAGAATAGTAAATGGAATTATTTTTTAAAAACACTATGCACCTTTCTTGATCCCATATACTAATCTTATGCGATTTTTATTATGTCGCGCACGCTTCTGACCATACATTGTAGATAAATTCGGACTTTTATACGACTTACCTCCCTTTAGCCGGGCGCTGACCAAAAACTAACGAGAAGGATTCATAAGCCGCCATACAGTAAATACACTGTAAATGAAGTCATGCAGTTACAATAAACTTTGAAGATACAAGTAACCATTTTTTTTGCTTACTTACGGCAGAGACCTATGTCTGCTTACGGTTAATATGGTTGTTTTCAAGGAATATTCACAGCAGGCTCGATCTTCTTCGATGTCCGTGAGCAAATTCCGTAAAATATATTGTTCAAAATTTATCAATAGTTCAACCACACTGTGCTTCTTTTTTTAAATATATAGTAATCGTATTGTTTTTTTTTTAAAAATAAACTTATTGAGGATGCTTTTAAAATAGCGATTTAAAAGATCGCGGCATTATTTACGCAGAAATTAACTCTTTTCGATATTTCTGCCAATGAGAAGGCCAGGATCGGTAAATTTTGTCTGAAAGGCCGTCGCAATAGGCTGTACGTACTGAGTACGTTTAGCCTAAAAACCAATAAACACGGTTCGAGGAGTTCCACGCTAGCATTTATTTTCAAAGAATTCCTAATTCATCTTTCATTTCTTTTTAGCCCTTATGACACACATTTTCTGAAAACGCAAGATATTTCCAAAAATCTCATTTTTCCTTTTTTCCACTAAAATCTGAAAGAAAAGAAAACATGACATTCCGGCATTTTCTTATACATTTTTGGAAATGTCTTAAAGATTATACAGATAAAGTTGGAAAACAATCTCTCAGCAGGAAAATAAAGTCAAATGCTGTTTTAATTTTATTTTAGTACGGAAATACGGAAGCAGGTGCAATTCATAAAAGATTAATCTAAAATCATTTATTGCGAAATTTGCAGCGGAAATTATATGAAGAAACGTGAAATTGATAGTAGGCATTCTGCAGTTTGTAAAGATATATCTTAGAGAAAAGAATAATTTTGTATGATTTGAAATGGTTCAATATAAATCAGAATGACTGTAGAAAATAGATATACATTTGTATGTAACGTTCTCACAAATCTTAGGACCTTTAATTTTTATATTATCGATTAAGTCTATATCGATTGTTCCAGGATTTGATTTTCTTGATTGTAGATGCTATCGTGCTATAACTAAACGGCTACAACTTTTACAACAGTCATTATTTTCGCTTGAGTTTAGTGTTAATGTAAATAACGGAGCGTTAGGGATTAATCCTCCAATCCGTGTTGTTTCTAGATTTTTATCTCTCTCTCAAGACCATTATCGAAAATAGAGACCGATTCAAGATACAAATCAGTAAAAGAGGAGCCTGCTTGTTGAATGTTATGCTTTTAAAATGTTTTTAAGACGTTGGTATGGGATAAGTTGATTCACTCAGATGTATTGATAAAGTCTGAAACATATGAAAGACAATCTGTTTCAAAATAAATACCTTATCAAAAAGAACAGAAGTTTTGTTTTCACTGGGTTTAACGTCCTGGCAACAGACAAGATAATGTAAGATCGGTCTCAGGAGGGACACCAAAGACAGGATCATATAAGGACAGTCTCAGGAGGGATACCAACAAGCAGGTTCATTAAGGGCGGTCTTAGGAGGGACACCAAAGACAGGGTCATATAAGGGCAGTCTTAGAAAGGACACCAATAAGCAGGGTCATTAAGGGCGGTCTTAGGGGGGAAACCAAAGACAGGATCGTATAAGGACAGTCTCAGGAGGGACACCAACAAGCAGGGTCATTAAGGGCGGTCTTAGGAGGGACACCAAAGACAGGGTCGTATAAGGACAATCTCAGGAAGGACACCAATAGACAGGGTCATCAAGGACAGTCTCAGGAGGGACACCAAAGACAGGGTCATATAAGGACAGTCTCATTAGGGACACCAAATACAGGGTCGTATAAGGACAGTCTCAGGAGGAACACCAAAGACAGGGTCGTATAAGGACAGTCTTAGGAGGGACGCCAAAGACAGGGTCATATAAGGACACTCTCAGGAGGGACACCAAAGACAGGGTCATCAAGGCCAGTCTCAGGAAAGACACCAATAGACAGGGTCGTATAAGGACAGTCTCAGGAGGGACACCAATAGACAGGGTCATTAAGGGCAGTCTCAGGAAGGACACCAAAAGACAGGGTCATATAAGGACAGTCTCAGGAGGGACACCAATAGACAGGGTCGTATAAGGACAGTCTCAGGAAGGACACCAAAGACAGGGTCATCAAGGACAGTCTCAGGAGGGAAACCAAAGACAGGGTCATATAAGGACAGTCTCAGGAGGGACACCAAAGACAGGGTCATATAAGGACAGTCTCAGGAGGGACACCAAAGACAGGATCATATAAGGACAGTCTCAGGAGGGACACCAAAGACAGGGTCATCAAGGACAGTCTCAGGAAGGACACCAAAGACAGGGTTGTATAAGGGCAGTCTCAGGAGGGACACCAAAGACAGGGTCGTATAAGAACAGTCTCAGGAGGGACACCAAAGACAGGGTCGTATAAGGACAGTCTCAGGAAGGACACCAAAGACAGGGTCGTATAAGGACAGTCTCAGGAAGGACACCAAAGACAGGGTCATATAAGGACAGTCTCAGGAGGGACACCAAAAGACAGGGTCGTATAAGGACAATCTCAGGAGGGACACCAATAGACAGGGTCGTATAAGGACAGTCTCAGGAAGGACACCAAAGACAGGGTCATATAAGGACAGTCTCAGGAGGGACACCAAAGACAGGGTCATCAAGGACAGTCTCAGGAAGGACACCAAAGACGGGGTTGTATAAGGGCAGTCTCAGGAAGGACACCAAAGACAGGGTCATAAAAGGACAGTCTCAGGAGGGACACCAAAGACAGGATCATATAAGGACAGTCTCAGGAGGGACACCAAAGACAGGGTCATCAAGGACAGTCTCAGGAAGGACACCAAAGACAGGGTTGTATAAGGGCAGTCTCAGGAGGGACACCAAAGACAGGGTCGTATAAGGACAGTCTCAGGAAGGACACCAAAGACAGGGTCGTATAAGGACAGTCTCAGGAAGGACACCAAAGACAGGGTCATATAAGGACAGTCTCAGGAGGGACACCAAAAGACAGGGTCGTATAAGGACAATCTCAGGAGGGACACCAATAGACAGGGTCGTATAAGGACAGTCTCAGGAAGGACACCAAAGACAGGGTCATCAAGGACAGTCGCAGGAGGGAAACAAAAGACAGGGCCATATCGGTACGGTCTTAGGAGGGGTACCAACAGACAATATCATAGGAGTCTCAGGAATGACACCGAGGGTAGTTAACACATTACAGAAAAAAGATAGAAAACAAATCTTATAAGTATTAATCACAGACAATTTTTTTAAACAGAATAAAAGCATAAACGTTAATTCAAACGTTTAAGGTAAATAAATCAACATGTAGATATGATGATAAGCTATTCCCTACCCGTTGCGATTTGTGTTTCTAAGGACGCCGAGAAACGGACCGGTCTGTGATTTTTTATATATATACTCTGTAATATAATGAATTATTGTTATCTACATACTGTAATCACATTTTAAAATGAAAAAAAAAATGGTAATTTGTTACTTTAATTGTACTGTATGGCATGCGATGGGCCTCCCGTATTTTGTTTAGTGAGATCGTTACCTAGGAGATACCGCCTCAAAATGTTAACTGAACGATAAAACCAGCAAACAAACAAACCGTGATTAGACAATCCTAAGTAGTTATACCTTAATAGGTTAAGTAGAATTTCAGGGATAGATCTATATTCGAGACAACGGTTAATTCTGTTTAGAGGTCAGATATACGTTCTTGTTGGGTGGTAAAGTTTCTAGATAAATAAAAGTTTAAATTTATGGAATTAAACTGGTATTTAATCGAGAAAACGCTATATCAGAAATGTTTTTATCCAGAAAACAATAAAATGGATTAGTGTCAAAATGTTTAT